CTACAAACTTCCTCTTCTCTGTCACTACTATCAACAGATTCTCAGGGAAAACAGTAAAGCAAAGCTTCCTAATAGCACCTCTATTCACAGAACTGAGCAGGTGCTTAGCAGAGATAAATTAATTAAGAGGTGAAATCTCAGCTTCCCTTATTAAATCTCAGAGCTGCTCCCTAACAAAACCCTCCCCTGCAGCAGATCCTACACACCAGCCCGTGGCACTGCTGTTTGATGGCTTTTATCATTGCTTTGATGTATTTTTTCCCCTGATGGCATTTACCTATAAGCTGAGTAATCTGGCTGCAGAACAAAGTTCTGAGGAAACAGGAAAAATGGGCAGCTCTGAAGCACCCACTAACTACCACATCCCCTGAGGGTCTGGGCACGGAAGGGAACAGAGTAAGTGTGCTACAAACCTGTGGCTAAGGTCTGCTTGGCTTAGAAATACACACAGCCTCTGATTTCTATAACTGCATAAGACATTGGTAAGAAATGGCAGCTGATTACAGTTCTACCAAAAAATACAGAAGGGAAATGGGGGAAAAAGCAAAGCCCAACCCATATTCCTTGTTAAAGTAATTCTTACCACATGCTCCAGCTGCTTCCATAGCTGCATTTCAGGGTAAGAAGAGACCATTAAATGTCAGTTCACAAAGCAAATTTCATCTTATCTAGACTGCATGTCAGTTTGTCCATCTGTAGTACCCTGGCTGAAGCAGGAGCTGTGAAAGGCATTCAGAGCTGCAAAATCCAAACCTCTGTACTGAGGAGGCAGAGCAGCCTGTGCCCTCTCATGATAAATGGCAACCAAGGACAGAACAGAAGTCTGAGAAAGGCCATGAAAAACCCACTGCTGGCATGGGGTATAACTGCTCTACATAGTGGTCTTGTGATCTCCTAGAAAATATAAACAAATAAAGAATACTTAGGAGCAGTACCATCAGTCTCCACAGCTAAGTTCATGCCAGTTTGGGATTAATACTGAGAACAGTTATAAATGCAGCAAAAATACTGAATTTTATTTGTTGCTACAACACAGCCTTCACACTGCATTTGGCTGTCAAGGTACCTGGAAGGCGGAAATGTCACAGGGATGTTTTCCTACAACCTGTTCAATTTATTTCCATTGGAACAGCAAAATTCATCTTAGAGTAACAACGAGGTTATGTCTGATGCTGTTTTCTTGAAAGCACACTCCCACTGAAATACATCAGTGTCAACACTTTCCAAAGAAATTAACTGAATTTGTATTTTTAGAATCCAACCAGAAAGCCAAAGCCCAGGGACACACATCTGCTTCGGCCCCGTGGCTCCCAGGCACCAATGTCACTGGGGATGTCGTTGCTTGCTGGAAGGCTCCTGCTGCAGCCCCGCTGCCGTATGCATGCGGACAGCTCGCTCACCAAAAATAAGTTTTTGTGTCACATCAAAACAAGCACCTGCCAGGGGCAAGCAGCTGCCACGGCCACCACTGCTCTGCAGTGCTCTCCCCACGTCCTTACTCACTGACCTTTCTACCACCATCCTGGCCTCTTTCTGTGTTTGTTGCCACAAATATCTCCTTTCTCCATCACAATGCCAGTTTATGACTCCTTCGGGTTCTTCCACTCAGTTTTCCAGCTTACTTCATCAAAATGGGTACTTTTATAAGCAGAACGAATAAACTCAAAGACCATAACAGGGTTTGTTACATATTCACTCCCGTTTAGATCCATCTGCTCCCCACCTTGGACTAAGAGCACTGCAGACAACAATCTCTCTGTGAGACAAAGGCACGGCACTGAAGAGACACAAGTTTGACAAAAGAGACAATTAAATCCTCAGCTCGTACAATCCTCCTGCACGCGCCTCTAAGCGCTGCTAGAAAGCAGCCAGGAGTTTCACTTCAAAATGAACATTGTAGAAAAATGAAAATCAGACTCTTAACCAAGGGGAACCGAAGGATCCTTCATTTTCTTCTCCAAAAGGCAAATTTGCCATTTCATCCCCAGATCCCTTGAGCTGCAGAAATGAGAGAGCATCTGCCAGCTCACTGAGCCACCTGAGTAACTTTTTCCAGCCTAACTCCAAACTGCAACAACTTGCCATATCAAACTGCCAAATCTACAGTGCTCATTTCTTTCTGTGAATCCAGCTGTCATTTTTCCCAAATGCCTTCTCAGTCCCAACTCTCCTGATGCCAAAAAAACCTTTTCACAGATATACATAATTTTGCAAAACACATATGTTCTCTGTATGGCACATGAAGTCAATTAACAAGTTTACTTACTGAATTAAAGGATGACACACAACAGTAAAACAAAAACCTCTTGCAGACAGCAAACACATGAACCTTCTCCTCCAAGAGAAGGCCTGGTACAAGGCAACAGGCTCAGAAGGAGCACTGAGTTTCAAAGCCTGTGTTGAGTACCACAGATGATCTTTCAAGCTTATCTCCGTGGCATCTTTTATCCTGTAATTCCCCCGGTGTTTGTGATCATCAGCGCGCTGAGTTAAATGTAAAACACGGTCAGCAAGCACAGAGCAGGCACTGGGGCAACCCTATTCCCTCACAAAAGAAAAACAAGCACAAAATAAAAGCACGTACCTTTTAACTGGTCAGCTACCACGCTCTGACCGACACGCTCAACCACCTTTCCATCCTCCATTTCATAGCGATCATCCAAATATTTGGCAGTAGCTTCCGAAATATGGACCTTCCCAGCCACCCCAAGCTGCTCCATCAGGTTGGCCAAATTGACATCATTGGACCACACATCGAACTTGAACCTCCTCATGCCTAAAATGCCACACAGGACTGTCCCGGTGTGAACACCGACTCTCATGTTCACCATTTCTTTCTTCTCCTGGCAGAACTGCTCGATGGCTTTGATCATCCCCAAGCCCATCTCGATGCAGCAGTAGGCATGATCTGCGCGGGGCTCGGGGCAGCCGGCCACGCAGTAGTAACAGTCTCCCAAAGTGCTGATCTTCTCACATTTAGTGTCCTCGCACAGACGGTCAAAGCGTCCAAAGAGGTCATTCAGGAGTCCCACCAGGGCGTGGGCTGATTTGTTGGCGCTCATTTTCGTGAAGCCAACAATATCTGCGAACAAAATGCTCACTTGCTCTATCTGCTGCATTTTAAAAGGACGGAATATTATGGGGGTTTTCTGTATGGAGGGCTTCTTCTTCCTGTTTTTGGGGCTTGAGGTGGAATGACGTTTGATGGAGTTTTCACTTTCATCATCCCCCTGCTTCATTAAGTCATCGGCTATTATTCTTGGCATAACAGAATGAATCATCCTCTCTTTCAGGGCTTTTTCCACTTCCAAGTCTTTTCCATGCATGATGGATTGCCCCACTTTCAGGAATGTGCTTCTTGATCTGACTTCGGACATGATAAATAAATGAATACCGATGGCATGGATGCAGATGTGCAGGAAGGCTTTACTCAACAGCTCCCAGTAAACCGCACCAGCTCCCAGAGGTGTGAAACAGTTCTCATCACGGAAGTGATAACCAAAGGTCTCAAAGAGGACCGAGTACGACAGTCCCAGAAACAAGCTTAAATACAGGGGTAAGTGCATCACTGTGTAAAGCAACAAGAGCACTTCAATACACATAGAAAAACTGCCCACTTGAGAAAGACAAGTGTCTGTGGGATCTGCCGGAGGAGTCCGGTTGGACATGTCACCACTTCCTGAGACAGGCTTCAGAGCCTGGAACTGCGGAGCGAGGGTCAGAGCAAACACCAGGAGGGTGAGTATCAGCGAAGTCCATACGTAATGGCGGGCATAAGTCTTAGTGAAAGTGAACACAAAAAAAGCTACACATACCAGGAGGAAGCACAGAGCCGGCACCATGAAAACAATCTGTTTCTCTCTCATGTGTATGCCGAAGTAGATGCCCCAGAGCAGACAGGCCACGCCGATGTAGAAGAGGGCATAGCGAAACCTGCGCTGGGTCTGCGGGAAGCATCTCTCCATGCAAGCCTCCTCCAGGTTGTTGGAGTCGAACTTGGGGTTCCACCACTTGGAAGAGGCCCTCTCGAAGAGCTGCGGCAGCTTCTTCTGCCGGCGGAGGCCGGAGCCACTGCCGCCCGCTCCGCCGGCTCGGCGGGTGCCCCCCGACTCCCCCGAGCTGCAGCTAGAGGAGATGCTGTACTTGCAGTGCTTGGAAGAGGTGCAGCCCTGGTGCTGCTTGGGGTTGATTTTCACCGTCACGCTGTTGCTGTCCCCGCTGGAGTCGCAGCTCACCTCGGTGCTGTGGTGATGCAGCAGCTGCTGGTGCGGTGGGGAAGCCATGTTGTCAATTCCTCCTCAAGAGCCCGCGCCGGACTTGGGTCTCTGGGGCTGCCGAAGCCACCGGGCTCCTCGCAGAGTCGCCTCTAGTCTCCTCCGGTCCCCGCCGCGTAGGGGCGGCCGGGCAGCGCCGCGGCGATCGGCCGCTCGCCGGGCTCCGCACACTGCGCGCCGGGGCAGCCCCGCATAGTCCCCTCGCCTGGGCCGAGCCGGGCCGGGGCTGCCGCCGCCCGCCGCTGGCCCCGCTCCCCCGCAGCCCTCCCGAGGCACGGGGCGGGCGGGCCGCTGGCTCAGCCCCGCGGGGGGGACGCCGGGCCCCCGCCGGGAGGGGACCGCTCCTCCATGTCGGCTGCAGCTGCCCGCCGCTTCCTCCCCGCACGGCCGCTGACGAGGGGCCGCCTCCCGCCCTCAGCCAGCCGCCCGCCCAGCCGGGACGGCGGCAGCAGCAGCGGCTCTTCTCTGCTCCGCCCGCCCGCCCGTCTGAGGGGAGGAAGGGGAGCGCGGGGACGCGCTCAAGCGGCCGCCACCATCTTCCTCACGGCGCGGGGGGGGGTTCGGGGGGGCTGCGGGAGCGCGCCCCCGCTGGCCAATTGGGCGCGGTGGCGCGGCGGGAGCGCGCCCCCCCCCTACACACAAACACACACTTCCCGCCTCAGTGCGAGGGTCGCGGGCAGGAGAGGGGACGGTCCCCTCAGGGAGAGACGGGCGTGATGTTGGCGGTGCTCTCCGTGGGACAGGGACGGGACAGCGAGGGGTGGCATGAGCTGGGCGGCACCTTAGCGGGGACAGTCCGCGGGGCCGAGCGCCGGGGTTCCCGGGCTGCCCCCGCCACCGCCCTCCCCACCGGCTGACATTTGCCATGCGCAGACAACACGCACTTCACCAAACAATTCAGCCCGAGCCTCGCTGCAAACTCGCTGGGTTATTTTTCTCCTCGTTCTCCGCTTGTTTATGGCTGACGCTATCTCGCCTGCCCCGCTCCCTCGGTTTCATTATCTCTCCTCGCAGATGGCCCGTGGCTTTCCTTCTTCACAGGGCTTCTCTCTGCTGGTGCTATAGCTCCCTCTTCTCTCCCCAGCTCTGCATCCCTCACAGAGGGATGGGCCCTTGCTCACAGGTGATGTTCCCAAACTGGTCTCACCTCATCCCACTCAGCCCCTCAGCTCCAGCCCCAGTTCTTCATTCTGTGGCTTCTCCTTCCCTGAATCCCATTTACTTTTTTCCAGGTGAGCCTTCCCCAGCAAAGCACTTCACTGCAGCTGTCCTTCCTCCTGCAGTCCCTTCTCCTCTGAAGGCCCCAGCATCCCGTAAAATAAAACCAATGTGATAGTAGTGGCATTGTGGCCAGCGGGACCAGGGCAGTGACCATTCCCAGTTCTGGGGAACCTCCAATCCCAGGGTAAGTTTTCAGCCCCTCAAGGCAAGACAGACATTGAGGGGCTGGAGAGTGTTCTGGGAAGGGTCTGGAATACCAGGAGCGGCTGAGGGAGCTGGGGGGGCTCAGTCTGGAGAAAAGGAGGCTCAAGGGGGGCCTTTTGGCTCTGCACAACTCCTGACAGGGGGGGACAGCCGGGTAAGGGTTGGGCTCTGCTCCCAGGGAACAGGGACAGGATGGAGCAGCCTCAAGTTGTGCCAAGACCAGTTCAGATCAGATATTGGGAAAAATTATTCACTGGAAGGGTGGTCAGACACTGGCACAAGGTGCTCATGGCAGTGGTGGAGTCACTATCCCTGGAAGTGTTCAAAAAATAAGTGGATGTGGTACTTCACGATATGGTTTAGTGGGCACAGTAGTATTGGGTCAAAAGTTGGACTCAATGTCCTTGGAGGTCTTTTCCAGGTCTATGACTGTCTATACTCTTTTTAAAAATAGTAATAGAAAATCTGTGACCACACAATTACTGAAACTGAAACTTGCCCTATTTTCCATTTCCTTTGTAAAGTTGTCCTGTAACCATGCTGTAACATACATTCCTAGTATTATTTAGAAGAAATTTGTATTTCCTGACATGCTCAAATATCAAAATAATCTCTAAAAATTCCAATCAATAGCAGTAATTGTTCTGGTTTTGCTGTGACATTGTTGTCTCTTGAATTCCAGCTAATGGCTCAGCTGATCAATATTTTATAGGGAGTGCTGCTTATCATGCAGCCCTTACATAAACACTGTTGGGAAGAGAGAAATCCCTGAGCTGACAGAGCAGAAAGGCAGGATGGCCTCCTGGGCTTGGCTATTAATTGATAAATTTACTAAAACTTTTTTCCAGCCTTTTTATTGATTCATCTAAATATACTTTAAGTTACATTCTTACTTCATACAGGATGATGAATTTTTTAATCGGCAGGATTAAAGAAGTGCAACAGTTTCCAAGGATTCAAAGGCATGGTGGGAAAAGAAGAAAAATTTTTTACCTCATTGGCAGAGAATTTAAGGTAAAATTACCTGTGTTTTTAATATTTTTTTTTGATGCAAACCTGTAAGATTTATGTTGGGTGATTTGAACTTAGAGATTTAAGAGGTACTGAAATTCCAGCATAGATTTTTTGTGTTGTTCCCCTGGGCTCCATAAAGTGGTACTTTGTGTGTTCTTAGAATAAACAGAATCACATCAAAGATACTTGCTCCATCACAAGTTTTCACTGAGTGACCCACATGATACCAAATTTTGTCTGGCTACTGGTCAGAGACAGCTTTTGATCTCCACTAATAAAATAGTTCCTCTTTCCCAGCGTATGTTTATGGGTTTCAAGGAGGGAGATGGGATGGAAGGAGACATCTGACTTGTCAGACCCTCCTTTAGTAAAGCTTCACATGGGGGTTTCAAGGTTGTGCAGAATCCTTGCTCCCCCAAGAAGCTCCCATTAGACTTTTAACCTGTAGGCTCCCATCCTGCTCCTCCGCTTGATCTTTTGGGTGGAACAGTCACCAGCCCAGCCACTCCCCGCCTTCCCCTGTCATTATCAAGTTCCATGGAAACACCCTGCATGTGCAGTCAAAGAACAGTTCTCTTCAATTTCATTAGCTCTGGCTGGGACAGATCTCGTGCTGTCTCCTGAAACACCGAATTTTTAATTTCACTTTGCTTTTATTGTGTAAATTTTTCTCTGTTGAATTCAAGTAGCAGATTAAATACATGAAGCAGAAAACCACAAACACCAGTGATGCTTGGATTCATTTTAAGTGTGACTGAGATTTGTTTTAGAGAGCAAGAAGTGGTTTGAGGTTGTATTTGTTATTTCCTCACCACCACCACCTTCTGATTTGTTTTTATCCAGGATGGATGTAACAGCCAGCGTGTCCCTCTAAGGCAGCACCTGAGTGGGTCATGTCTGTGACATCCTTTAAGGAAGATGCTTCCTCTGGATCACTTTCTTAGCCACCACAATGAGCCATCCTGGTAGAACTGGGAGACTCCATGCAGGCTGGTTCCTGAGTCCTGGGTTCATTCTGCACTTGGTTGTGCTGGTTCTCTGTGGAGAGCTCTGATCACCCTTCCAAAATACTCTGGGACTGTTTTCCTTTCTCAGAGACTGAGTTAGAGGAAATACTTAACAGAGCAATAAGAGGGCAAATGCAAATCCTCCTTGCAGAGTTCTTTTAACTTCGAGCCACTAAATACACACTTAGTCTATGGAACTGTATTTACTTCCCCTCTCAGAGGAACAAGCCTTGTCAGCTGTAATGATGAGCTGTTGTTTGACGTTCATAATATTGCACTTCACTGCTTATCTGATGGAGGCACGCAAAGTTATTTAGGGGCTTCTGAAATGTGACAGCCCACATGATGCTTTTTTAGACTTCCCAAACCGCCCTCACGAGGCAGGAGAATATGGCATGGGAACGGCTGGCTGGAACAGCAGCGTGCCTTAATGCCAGAGGGGTTGCTGTAGCTGGGAAGGAGGAATGGGCTTTGAAAGTTTGCAGCTTTTGTTGTGTGCTGTCAAAGGAAGAACTTGCAGCCTGAAGGAACGGGCATCGTGGATGCCATGGGTGGGGACTGTGGGGATTGTTGATCCTGCCTGGTAACAGCATAGAGATGGAGGCAAATATGTTAAAACCTGTTTGGACCGTCCAAACAGACAGAAGGGGGCTCAAGGGAGACAGCTCAGATGCCCCATTTCATGCTATCTTGCCTTAATAAACAGAAAGATCTCACTTTCTGACAAGCTTCTGTATCTTCATCCTTACTGCAATGCAGAGCAATCATTGTAAGTTTTGAATCCTGGAAGCCTCCAGGTTAAAGAACTCATTTAAGAAAACCAAAACTCAACAAATCTTCTGGCTTCTTTTCACAGACTAACAGGTAAACATTGGCAAATATTGTGAAAGACTGTTACTCCATCATGATTTTATAAATTATAAAGTATCACAATGTTTATTTCATTTTTCCATAGCAGAAGATCACAAGGGTTACCTTTGACATCTGTTCCATGTGAACCCACAGAAGGTGAGTAAATGGGTGGTGCATTCTCACCTCCTTGCAGGGCCCAGGTTGTTTTGTGTTCTCTATTTTCATCCTTCTGAAATTGCTATTCAATTTATTCATATCACTGAGGGGATTTCATATCCCATGAGATGCACAGATTAAATAAGCAGGTAAGCAGTAGAAGATCTTTTTATGTGACTCAAGAGAGAGGATAAATCCCAGTCTGGATGAGTGGAAATCTCTGACTCCCCTGTGACCAGGATTTTACTTGCAGGCTTTGTGGTTGTCTCATTGGAGTGGTCTTTTTGCCAAAAGCAATGCAGAATATTCCACTTACCTGACAAAATGTCTGCCATCAGGAGGTAGCTTCACTCAAATGTACATTTCTTTAAGATGAAGACAAACTTGAATTTATTGCTCATTTCATTCATAACCAGAAGTTCTCCTCACTTGCCAAACTGCTGAATCAGCTTGGGTACCTCACCCTTGAGTCAGCACAGCCCAAAACAGAAACTTGCTCCATTTCCGAAGAGAGGAAGTACCACTGCTGTCTGCAAATACAGCCACATCTGACATGCTTTTATAGCTACAAACACTCAGTGCAGGCACTTGCATGGCACTCTGCTGCTAAAAAAAAAAAAAAAAAATAAAAGGAAGTAAAAAGGCACTTTCTTATTCAAAATAGGAGTCTTTGGGTTGCTATGAGTGGGACTGTGTGGATGTGGGAGTCCCAAGGAATAAAGAGCTAGAGAAGGACTTTACAAGTGGCAGTCATTGATGTCACCTAGCCTAGCCCAGCATCAAGCTCCCACTCCACCTGCTTGCAGTTTCTCAGGACATACTCAGGAATTAGGCAGACAATGAACAGACCATAACCAAACTGAAGCAAAGTCTTAATCCATTGGGAAATAATGGCAAGAAAACATGGTAGAAGCTCTAAAACACTGACAGGACATCAGCTACCAGGGTTCCCAAGGTAGAGCTGAGTCAGTCCTGCTGCCATGAGGTAACTCCACTTTATAGAACAGCATAAAACAGCAGAAAACCCGGGGAAATGACCAAGAGCTGCAGTCAAATAGTGGGAAGTGACACTAAAGTCATCAGCAGGTGGAAGGCAGTGAAAAGGCACATAAAAATAGTCCTGTGTGAAACAAATGAGGGAACATTTTCTATGGCTCCAAGTCGGGACAAGAAGTAGAAGAATGAGGATAGTGTGAATTTGCTCGATCTGCCCTTCTCAAGCTCTGCAGTTTTTTCTCTTGCAAATGAGCATCTGTGGTATTTGGCATCCTACAAAAGCACCCCCATTGTCCAGCAGCACTGGGATGCCCCCTTCCCAAGGGTGTTCCTGGTTTTCCTTTCCTGCATGCTGCAGGATGGTGTCGTGTTCTTCCTGGTCCAAGCAAACCGCTGTTCCTGTGCTTCCATTAAATGCGTCTGAACTGGCTCTGTTTTCCACAAGGAAAGGCCATTCCAACAGGCAGACAAAAATCAGTAGCTGCTTTCAGACCATGGGCAGACAAGATGCGATCCTTGGTATTTTCCTGCAGTACTATGGAGGAAACTGCAGATATTTGAAGAAATTGTCATTTCTGCAACAGGTGTGAGGGCTGCAACACACAATTTTACCATTTTTGGATTTTTGCAACTATGCAGTTGCAAATTGAAACGTGTTTTATATTTAGTGTTTTGGATTATTCAGTTGAAAGAGGTGGGGGTGAGGATTTACAGGTGTAATTACAGGATTGTGCAGCCACCTTAGGAAGAAGACCTGCTGCAGATCCACAGAAAACCCCAGCTAAGGAATTGTATGTGCCACAAGCAATTACACACCGTAAAACTTCGTGAAACATTTGCTATGTGTGCACTAGGCCCTTTTTAAATTTAGATTTCTAGGAAGAAGAGAATTGCTGGGGCATTTCTGTGACCTGATCCCTCGTCTTGGTTGATCCGCGATGGAAAGGTGACCCCAGGAACGGCTGGGAATGGATCTGGTGAGAGCCATTGCTGTCTGAGCCAAGCAGAGTGTTCCCAACTGCATCCCTGAATAGATTCATTTGCTCTTTCCCTGGCTCTATTTTAGCTACAAATCTGTTATTCTGCCCTGTGGGTGCCAACATTTTGTTAAAAAATAACCAAACTCAGTAATATTGGATTTCTGGTGCACTTTTTTTCCCCAAAAGGGTTGAAGTGAATGTTCTTCTCACCCATACGTAGGACTTCACCTGTGTGGCTGCAGCTCTGGTGACATCCAGAAAGATACATGACCCTTACTCCTTCAGTGGAGCAGATATATCTCAGCAACTTAGCAATGATGTGACAAGTATGACCGGGAAGGCATTGAGAAACTATTTTTAGTTTGTATTTTTAGTTTGTATTTAAGACAATTTCTACACACTTTTATGTTCTCAAGCTTGGAAAAAGTTCACTTTTGTCTACAAACACAGGAACCAGCTGTTACTTAAAATTTTTGTTGTGGTTGTAGGATTGAGACTTGGATGAAACAAGAAGGATTCATACAGGGACATTTATAGAATCAAACAGTCATGGAATGATTTGGCTCAGAAGGGGCTTTAAAGATCATCTGGGACACCTTCCACTAGACCAGGTTGAATGTGAAAGCAAACACCTTCCAAAAACTCTTGCTTAAAACTGAGCATGAATGCATGTTTGTGCCATGTGCCTTGTTCTGTTTCCAGAGGAAACAAACGAAGAAAATGTTGCTGAGAACACTAAAACATAACACTTTGGCAAAGGTGGTTATCACATCCTCCAGGCATTTTCACCTGTGGTGCTGCCCTGACAATTGTGGTGTGTTGTGGAAGTAAAGTGTGAAGCCACTCAGGACTGGGTCCTGCTGGTTGTAGATGAGCAACTACATAAATACCTTTTGACAGAGGTAAGAGGGAATGCTTGCTTCCACAGGGGAAGGGGAATAGTGGTTCTGAGAACTGAAAACACAGCAAATGTTTGTTGGAAGGGGGAGCTGGGAGCAGGACAAGGTAGCACACAGAACCCAGTGAAAGGTCACAGAGGGAGAAATGCTACAATCCAGCATTTATTGCCTAATGTTACTGGGATTTAGGAATGGGACCCTAATCCTTTTATAAACCAGGAATCTCCTTGAGTTGTGTGAGTTGTGTGAATGGGACAAGCGACAGCCACCATCAATAAGCAAAAATCACACCCCTGTGCTTTGTGGCACACGTTAAACTCTCAGTGGAACAGTCAGGGAAAATCCCTTTCCAGCAATTTCCCACCAAAGGCTTCCTCCAGACTGCAGCTTCCAGAAGCTCTGAATGATTTGTACCTGTGAGAACTGCTCAGAGGTTGCTTGGTAGATTCAGAGAGATTAATTATTCACCAAAGGAAACTTGGTAATGATGGTGCTACTATGTGTGATCTCATGCCTAAAACTGTCCCACATCTTGTCTATTTATTTGGGAAATTAATTTCTAGAACACTTGGAATACAAAACCAGGAGTTGAAATTGCCTTTCAGTATTTCTTCAGTACAAACAAAAAAACCAAACAAACAAGCTCATTGTGTTTCTTACAGTCAAAACATCTGTTATTAATGTTAAATTCCTGGGTACCTGGAGAACCTGTTCTTGAATAAGCTACAAAGCTGAAGCCTGCCTGAAAATATTAGAGTAAGGTATCCCACCATCTGAAGGATTTTCTACACTTCTGCAGTGATTTCAGGAGGCAGAGACATGTGGCCAGAGAAAGAGAAAAGGCTCCAGCCGTGTACCAGGGAAGTGGGGCTGAGAAGCAGATTGATTGTTAAGTGGCTTTTTCCTGTCTGTTCATTTATTCTCTTTTACCATCCTTGTTTCCATTCCTTCCTCAGCTTTATCTCTGTTGAAGAGCAGAGAAAATATTCTATTCCCCTTTCATAGTTGTAACACATATTCATTAAGTCTCATTGTATTATAACTCAAATAACTCTTGCCATGTTTGATTCTTTATTTTGACCATATAAGCTCTTAATTATGAATTTGCCCTTCATCTGGATCTCTTGCTTCCTTTTTTCATTGAGTTCAGTTCACAGTCAAGTCCAATGGACTGCTTTAGAGACTCTTTGAGTGAAGGTGTTTGGATTTTTATCCAATTTTCCCTCCTGTCCTGTCTCACTCCTCCAGCTGTGCTGCTCAGACCAGGAGGCACCAAGTCCATCACTTTGCTACAGCCTCTAACTCCTTCTTCCAAGCCAGAAATGTGGGCAGGGCTCTTGGAGAGATTATTATCTTCCTAACCTCAGCCTGAGTGTAAACCAACCCACAGCCCACCTCTGTCCCTAGATGAGCAGTTGTGCTTCTCTAACTGTGGAAACTTCAGCAACACAGAGCTGCTGCATTCATTTTTCCCCAAAAAGGCAAAACACAGCAGTGACAGATTAGTGGGAGGATGTTTCTTTCTCCAATGGAACAAAGCTTCAGGTGGCCAGTGCCTGGAGCCCACCACTTCTGCACTGCTCAGTGCCCTAGGAGAGGATGCAGATGTAGAATGTTTGGGCTGAGGTCTTATTTAAATTATATATTAGGCTGAAAAATGAACACACAGGAATGAAGGATGCTCCCAGTGCCTGTGGGTGCTGTTGCAGCATGGAGCTGACAGCAGGATTGGTCTGGGCTGCTCCATCCTGCTCCTGCACCTCAAGGCAAAGATGTGGCCAACACCATGGACTGAAAGAAGTCCCTTTTATAGGCCTCAAATCTTACAGAAAATAAAGAGATACAGGGCTGAAGAAGCCTCTTAGGTTGGAAATGCATTTAGTGTTTCTGCAGAATAGGGAGAGCACAGAGCTTCACTTACCAAAAACAGCCAAATCTACAGGACTGTGGGATTGGAAGACTTTTATGTCTAGCAAGTAATAACTGTCTTTAATTAGCTTTGTTTACGTGATAGATGTCAATGTCAAGCTCTCTCAGTGAAAAGGGCAGAATGTCCTTAGTGGGAAATGTGAGTTTTGAAGCCTGACAACATAGAACCAGCGGGAAGGTTTGTGCTCAGACTGCTGGGGAGAAAAATCACCTTTGGCTCAACAAAACAGGAAGGATTTCAAGCCCACAGCAGAAGTTTTTCAAGAAACTAATGAAAATGGAGGATTATAGTTTAAACTGTTTTGCAATCGCTGGCCTCAATCCTGCAGACACTTTTCACACACACTCAACTTTATATCTGTGGTTGGTTTTGCTGACCCTCATGGGATTATTGACACCTGGAGATAGAAGTGAAGGCCAGACTGTTTACAGAGCAGAGTTTAAACTACAGCATTTTAATAAAAAAAAAAAAAAAGACATTATATCGAGGTCTGCATAATCGGCTCATTGGGATCCTTTGTGTTTGAAAAAAAACCCTGAGAAACTCAGGATTTAAGATTCATGAGGTGGTCTCAGATCTGCTCCCTTGTGTGAATAGGACCTCTTGTTACGCTGGATCACAGCACTGGGCCACAAAACTTATTCAGCAAATATTGAAAAAAAAAACCCACCTTCATAAAATTGGAATCTATGGCTCACATGCAAATACTGTCTGCATTTCTTTCCTCTCTAAAAAAAATATGTTTGACCACTACCTGAGACTGAAAGGTTTCCCCTCATCAATAGAGAGCAACTAATTGGAAAAAAAACTGGTTTATAATTTTTTTTTTTAATTTTGATTTTTTTTCTTTTATATCTCAGCAGTATATTCTACCTGGGAAAACTGGTTTATATATTTTTTTTAAATTTTGATTTTTTTCTTTTATATCTCAGCAGTATATTCTACCTGGCATGAAACAACTTTTTGAAACCCCCAAAACAGGAATAAGTCCCCTCTGCAAGCTCTGGTTCCACCATTTATCAGGCTGTTGCTGCAGGAGCCAAACTGCCATTGGGCTGACTCACATTTTGGCATTTCGTGTTTATATACGTGATGACGATGTTTGCAAGCAACAGGGGAAAAACCCTGTGTTCATCAGCACCATGATCCCAGCAAAACCTTCCCTCCTCAGCTGCATCAGCAGAGCCCAGGGATGTGGCCAGAGCCACAGGCTGGTGTGGGCACTGTTGTCACCACTCTTTGCCACTCAGCACCCACAATCCTCACGTTGCATCCCAGACCTCCAGCTGGCCAGGCCCTGCGGCTGCCAGAGCCCCAGATCTGCCCAAATTTAGGCACACCTGGTGTGCCTAAATGGACCCCTTTGCCCTGCCCATCCATCCTGACCCTCTGTGATTCTGCCAGCATCCTTTGTGGCTCTGGAAAGCCAGCTTTGGCACTCAGGACACCTTTCACATGATCTTTATCCCCCCAGGTCCAAAATTTTCAATGTAGTATTCCTGGCACTGGTATCGTCCTTGACACCGGGTTTATTTTTGTCTCGCTGCCCTTTTTATCTCCAGCTCCCTTGCCCTAAGTCTTATCTTGTTTTTTGCCTTTTCCCAGGCTTTAAGGACCTGATGGGGACTCTAGCCACACAATGACCTGGCAGACCTGGCTGTATGTGACTGTCACTCCCACCTGCCTCTCCTGGCATTCCCTAAACTTTAACCACAACTTCTGGCTGCATCACAGTCCCGTTGGTCACTGGAGAGAGGCAGAAGAGGTTGTCCCTTCAGGCCCTGCCACCACAGTTCCTCTCGGTGTCCTCTGGCTCAGGCTGGCCCATCACCACCTGCGCCACATCCCACCTCTGACATCCTTTTCCAGGTGAAGAACCCCTGCTGGAGTAAAATGGGGACAATGCCATGGGAAAAGCCTGTCCTGGGATGCAATAAGCCCCCAGCCTGTTCAGCTTTGCCATGATTGTGCTTGTGGGCACAGCTCTGCCACAAAGTTTGGGCTGTGCCGGGCCCTGCAGGCTTGGAGGCCGGGCTGGCTCTCCTGGAGCATTTGGCTGTGTCTGTCACCATTTACCTAAACAGGAGCAGGTCTCAGCTGCTGAAAATCCCATCTAGATCTGCTGCAAAGTGGAAATAATTTGTTAAATGCTTTATATTGGGGCAGTAACACCCCTTCCTGTTGCCGAAACATTTGGATTTCTGCCCATGGAGAGGACCAAAGAGAGCATCAGGATCCAACTAGGTGAGCAGATACCCAGAGCACAGCCTTGATTTTGGCTGGGGCTGGGGCTGCAGCTGCAGCTGACATGAACTTTCCACCAGTGGCAATGGGTCAGAGGCAGCTGGGGCTCCTTTCCTTCCCTCTCCAGCCCTTGCCTTTGGGAGCTGTGGGCAGGATTAAGGAGAAAAAGCAATTTATGGGTCATGGGAAGAGGGAAAACAGAAGCAGCTCGGCCAGCTGAAGAGGAAACAGGGGACACAGATGTCTGTGGAAAGCTGAAGCCACTTACAGAGGATGCATTTACTTGTATTTCCTTCCAGTAGAGCTTAATTGCAATGTTTTTTAATGACAGGTGGGATGGGAGCTGGGCTTCTGCCTAAGCACTTCTGCGTCCTGCATAAAAGTGCTGAATTTAATATTAACAACAATTAATCACAGCTACCGGGAAGCAGCTCCCTGCCCTGGGAGTGCTTGGTTTGCATGCTCAGCCCCACCAGCTCTCATCCCCAGGCCAATGGCTCTGGAAAGTCACAAGGAAGCAAGGGTCTTCCCTGTGCTGCTGGATTTTGATCTGGAGCTGAAGTGGTGGTGGCACCAGCACCCCCTTCCCATTCCCACCAACAGCCTTTGATGGGAACACAGGTGGTTTTGGACACCTCTTGTCTCTCCTGTGGGTAGGAATTTGCCACTTGCCACCATCTCACCCCACATTCCATTTTCCCTCCCTCTGCCCCAAAAGGTTACTGGGATAATTCCAGATCAGAGCAGTCCATGTGGGTTAGGGTGGATTGCAGGTTTGCCAGGATGCTGATGGATTTCTCCTGTTTTTGATACCATGACTCGCTCTCTCAGTAGCAGCACTAGTTGCTCATTGCAAGTTTTGCACAGGTACATTAATATTTTGGAACAGCTCATCTTTGCATCCTGTAATTAAATGACCACTAATGAATGTGTTAGAGAAGGAGGAGCCAAATGCTCCAGTCCATGCTGGGCATCCATAGAATAACTGCTGGGAATTCAGCAAATTGCTGCCCAGGCTGCAGCAGCTGCTGGCCAGGGACAGCAGTGTGTGAGCACCCTGTCGTCCCCTCCAGCCTCTGCTCTGCTTAGAGGTACCCCCAAACCCTGGCCCACCACCCCCCTGTTTTTCAGGGGTGACATTTGCTGGACACCTCATGGAGTGAAAATTACCATCTCAGGGCTCTAGGATGCCCTGGCTTCTCTGATGCTTGTCCTGAATATGATGTAGGTGTACTAAAGCAAATGGTGATCCCTTGGGGCCAATATCCAGGCTTTTCCCACCTCCCTCAAGCAGACAATCCTTTTGGACATTCCTTTTCCCAAGGCAGACAGCTCCAGAAGCAGGCTTGCTCCCCTTCCTTCACCCTGTCTCCTCCAGGAAACACCAATGTCACATGCAAACTCCAGTTCTGGGTCTGAACCCCTTTGCAGTCTGCAAATCCTCCTCCCATGGAGATGCGTGGATATGGCACTTGGGGACATGGTTTGGTGGTGGCCTTGGCAGTTCAGGATTAACAGCTGGATTTGGTGATCTTAGATGGCTTCTCCAACCTGTGATTCCATTGGTGTCAACCGAGGGACGTGCTTCCAAAGCCCCTGCACGCTCTTCAGGACATGGCTTTACTTGCCTTCCTGGTTCAGTGCCCTGCACATCTTGGGCAAAATGTGTTTGATTTTGGGTTTCTCCACAGGCACAAACTGACCTCAGTGCTCTGGTTTGAGGTGGGAGGTGTCTGTCTGACATGTCCTTAACTTAATGTTGAAACTCTTCCAACTCCAAGCCTGAGCCTAGACCCTGTCCTGGGAAGGGATGCCAGAGGGCTAGGGTCTGTGCAAGCCAGGGTGCTTTTGGGGCTGCATGAAGTTCCACAGACCCAAAAAGGAGGGACTCACGTGGAAGGGGGTTTTGTTTGCTCCAAGAGCTGTAAATGGCATCTTGAACCAGTCAGGCATCTGCTGCCAGCAGGGAGAGTGACAGCCCCAGCTCTGTGATGGGGAACCAGGTGGGCAGATTTGTGGCACCACCTGGACAGAGAGTGAGTGGCCTGATAAACATGTCACAGCCACTGGGGTCTTGCAATTGCAGCACAGGGAGTTTTGGGGGACAAGGTTTGGAAGGAGTTTGGCCCCAGCATTGGATGCATGGGAACAGCAGAAAACAGACTGGGTGGGAACCTCCACTGTGCAGCAGGCAAAGCACCAGGGCTCCCCCCAGCTCCCAGCAGACCTTTCCAAAAGCTTTTATTCTTTTTCTGATAATTGGATGCGGGATATTTTCATGCCTGCAAGAGATGAAAGGGGCTGAGGTGGTGGAGGACAACCAAAAGGGACTGTAAACCCCTTGGCTGGTGTTTGAGGAAATTCAGGAGACCTCTGGAAACCTTGGTGGGAGCACCCTGGGCGCAGGCAGGATCCGGCTGCTGCCAGGCTCTCGGCAGCACCGGCAGCTCCTCCCCAGCAATGTCACTATGATAAATGTTTGTCTTTTCCGTCCAAGAGATACAGCGGAGCCACTGCCAGCACCACGTCTCAGTGGAATTGGGGTTTGCACTGCCAGGAGCGTTACCGGCTCATGATTCACATCTTTACAGCAGCTTTGGAAGGAAAATGTGCTTCTTGCCAGGCAGACCTTCATGCACGTCGAGATGCCACAGTTTTTCCAGACTTTCCAAAGGAAGCCACAGCCAAATGAGACATTCCTTCTCTTCTTCCAGCTTTCTTGGAACAATCTTCTTTGATTAGTGAGTGAGACAGATAGTTGGAAAGAAAGGCAGACAGACAGGCTGGGAATAGGGTTATAATGAACAGTTTGCATGAGCCCCAGTCGCTGGTGGGAAGGTATCTCTATCTGCCCCTTGCTGGGTGGCTGCTGAGAGCTCCTGCTGTACACTGTAGTCCCCCACTGCTTTGTCCTCCTCCATGATCCCCAACCCCTTTGTCCTTCTCCATGGAGGAGGACAAACCCCCCTCTTTCCTCCATGGTCCTTGACTCCCTGCCTTCTGCTGGGATCCCAACCCCCCTGTCCTCCTCCATGCTCCCCAAATCCCTGCCTCCCTCCATGATCCCCAGCCCTGCCCTCTGCCCTGGAGGGTTCTCCTCCGTGGTCCCTGACCCCTGCCTTCTGTCATGGTGCCCACACAGCATGTGCTAAGGCAGGTGGGATCTGTCTCACCAGGGAGGATCACACTACCCTGAGGCACAAAGCAAAGGGGTTGGGGTTTGCTTTGCCTGTATGGCACAAGGAGACAGGTTGGAAAAGCAGCCAAATGACTCAGGCATGGCTGGCAGGTCCTGTGCAAGGGACAGAGGCCAAAGCTGTGGTGCAGGGAAGGAGATGGGAGTTCCTGCTTTGCTCCCTGCAGCTGCACCCCCTCAGCCACCCCAGTCCCGGCGCTCTCTCCCACACCAGGAGGAGAAACAAAACAAGCATCTCCAGGGAGTGTGTTTGGAAAATATCAGGTTTTATTAGACAGGCTGATGTTCAAGCTGACAGTTTTATCCCAATGCACATGATCACGGGCATCTACAGGGCCTGTGTCCCAGCTCCCTCCCTTCCATGAAGCTCTTAGGCAAGATGTTCAACTCCCCCAAATTCTGGGGGGGGTTGATTTCTCAGCAGAATGAAAATGTCTCCCTGCTCCCCATTTTTCCATTCCCAGATTCCCAAAGGTCTCCTGAGAAAGCTCAGTGAGAACTGGGTTAGGAATTGCAATCCTCTTGGGACTGACAGCCACCTGGATCCGTTGGAGAGGAGGCATCTCAGTGGTGGCATCTCCCTGAGGCAGCACGGAGCTGGGTCAGTGTGTGTCACAGGGAACAGACCACCAATGCCATGGCTTTGGAAGGAGAACCCAAAAGAACCATATCGGGGGGGAAAAGGGTTTTGGCTGTCGTGGGGGAGCCCCATCCAGCACACAGGCACCAAGCCTTTGCACAGGGCGTGCAGGTGCTGAAGGGAAGAGGAAGGGAGGAGAGGAGGCACTGAGGACTGGAAAATAAAGAAAGATAAAAGGAAACCAGAGAAAGGGTGGGGAGAACGATGGGAGTGGCCTGAGAGCACTTCAGTGCCTTCAAGGTCAATACTCCTTGTGGGGCAGGGTACCCCATGGGCTTTAGGGTGACAGAGGAACTAGGAAAGATATGGTGCAATACAGTGCTTGCAAACAGAAATGTTTAAAGGCCTTTGCTTTCTGTGACAATGACACACAGTGTGACAGCAGGAACAGTGACAACATCAGCCAGTTTCTCTTGGTGATTCTATTCCATTAGCTCTTAAAAACCCATGCAGACCAATCTGACAGAGGAGAGTGAACGACAGATGGAGAGGAAAACTGATGAGCAATGGGATCATGGACAAGAAGGAATGACAGCGGAGGGGCAGCAGCACTGGGGCAGGTTTGAGACCTCAGAGTACTCACAAGCACATCCCTTCTCTCCACACTGCTCTGGCTGCTGCTCTCTCTGACACTGCTTGCCTTCCCTTGCACCCTCTGCTCACTCTGCACTGCAGGCAAAATCCCTCTTCCTGAACCATGCCCTGTCCTGTGCTTGGACATAGATTTTGGTCTCAGCTTCATTAGTTCAAATGTCAAGTCCTACCTTGAAGCAGAGGCCAGGTCCCTGCAGCAGCATCCCCTCAAACTCACCTGCACTCAAGGGGATCTCTTTGTTGCAGTGCCTGGGGGACATGGAGCTCTCCCAGGCTGCTGCCATAGCTCACTTCCTGTTGCACATGTGGAGATGCCCTTCACACCCTCCCCATCACAACACAGCCTTCCATTCCCAGCTTTCTCTTTCCCTCTTTCGTTCCTTTTGCCTTTTTCTTTAGCCAGCATCTCCATGTCCTCTTGCTTCTGTTGAAGGTAAGTCCCTTTTCTCCAGAGGTTTCCTGGAGAGCAGTGCTTGCTGTGGGTATTTGGCAGGAGGAAGGACTTTCAGCAGGTTCTTGGTGGGCTTGAAGGTGCCGGTTTGCCATCCAGGACAACATCTATCACCTGGCTGATTTGGGCTCAGCTTGGCAATGACAGCAATGCTGTCCATGAGGGCCAAGTTTCAAGGTCGGTCCATAGGGAACTTCCCCCTGCTCAGGTGCTTCCAAAGCAATACTCCTTCAGAACTGAGCACCGATGCTCAGAGACAAGCCAACAAATGGCTAAAAAGGGAGGAGTTTGGAAAACAAGCCCCAGAAACCTGCCTGGACTGTCCTGGGGAGGACAGATCAGCAGGTAGGCAAAAGGGATGTGACCTTTTTAAGTTCACAGCTAATGAACCCCCTTCCTGCCTCCTTCCCTCCACAGAGCACAAAACCATGGAGGGCTGACTGAGAAAAGAGCAACACAGACTTGAACAAAGGCAAACTGCCAAACCCTCACCCTTGGAGCCCTGCTGGTCCAAAGACAAGACTTGCTAGCATGGGTTTTGAGGTTAATGACACACACAGGCATGAAGTGCCTTCTTCTGTACTGGTCCAGGGAAGGAAACCCTGCTCACATCTCCTTGTGGGACCATCTGATTTGGGGTGTTGGCCCTCCTCATCCAGCGCAGCTCAGCCAGTGATGGCTGCTCCTTTCCACCTCATTTCTTCCTTTGCCATGGACTTGCAAATCCCATCACGGCTGCCTGTCTGGAGATACCAACGCCCCTGCAAATGCTCCTTCTTAAGTCAAACACCCACATGAAGGCTGCAGAAGATCAACTGAGCTGTCAAGTGAAAACAGAACTCACCAGGTGACCTAGAGGTCTCAGAAATAAAAACAAGATCAATATTTGCTGAGATTTGTAGCAGGTTTGTGCCTGAAAACAGCAGCTGGGACATGGCCTCTCTTTCCTTGACCAGTGCTCCTGGTGATGCCTGGGTTAGTGTGTCACTGCTCTCCCCTGTGCTCTCACGCTGTGCCCTTGTTCTCATTCCCTCATGGCTTCGGGGATGCAGAGGTTGAAATTCCTCTTCATGCACTCTTGGCACCAGTGGAAAAGCAGCTGCAGTCCTGCCCATGCATTGCTCATACTTACAGCTTAAACATTGCCTTCTACTCAAAAGAACAAAGATAAAATGTCAGGAATTCACAGTTTTTATTCTCTTCCTTATGCCCACCCATCTTCCCCTGCCATCGATGTCACTGACTCAAAGTCCTCATCGTACGGTAGCCTTTGCCAGCACGGCACTCAAAGGGTTAACAAACCATGGCTTCTTGGACAGATAAGACATAAGCTCATTCACCAGTAGGAACACGTGGACAGTTGGGTTGTGGATCACCTTAGGGTTTCCTGTAGCGATTCTTTGGGGTTTCGCCACAGCCAGTGACGTCGCAGGAGAGGACATTGGGCTTCTTCCCCAAGCCAATGCTTCCCAAGAGATCGGGAAGCTCACGGGTGATGGCCTTCTCGATCTTCTCTAGGAAACACCCTCCCATGTAGGAACACTGCTGAGATAGCAGCTTAAAACTGGTGATGGGATTGATGCCAAAAAAGTCCTTGTAAGCCTCACGGTTGGGGAGGTCAAATTTGCTGACATTGGTCTTTGCCAGAATGGATTTAAAGATAAAGAACCTGTCAGGATCTTCCACAATGTCCCTGAACACCAGTTCTCCATCACTAAAGAAGGTCATTTTGTCCTTGTAGGTCTGTAGATAGCGATCGACCAGCAGGGCGTGGATGCGCACTCGGATGGCGTGCTGGCGGATGAAGGCAATCTTGTTTTCCATCCTGTTCTCAATCACCTGGTTGAGATCTTCCAGGAGCGATATCTCTTCTTTGAGGAACAGGTCTCTGTGGGTTTCTGGATGGTAGTCATGGGGCCAGAAGGAGCTAACATACACCCTGGGTGGCTCTGTGACATTGATGAGAGGAGCCAGGCTCCAGAACAAGGCACCATAGACTCTCATCAGCTCCTGGGTAGCCAGGCTGTCAGCTTTGTTCAGGATGATTCGGATCTGAGACTCGCGGCCCTTCAGCTGACGAAACAGCATCTCCAGCTCCAAGCCTACATCCAGCTTCGTGGGGTCAAAGACAACAAAGATGAGATCGGCTCTGTCAATGAACCACTGGCACACGTCGTTGAATGGGTAACCTTGAGGAGAGGAAACAGGGAAATCCAATGCAGGATGAGTCCCTTCATCAAGGGATTGATAAACCGTGAGCCTGCTGTGCCTCAATCCCCATTTGTGCTGCATGGATTGTGAGGCACAGCAGACTTCCCCTGTAGCCTAGAACCTCTTTCTCACATGCTAAAAACACTTTGGAGCTTCTTGGCACGAAAAGCCATCCATGGGTGTCTGGGCCTGTGACTGCCTGTCTCTCTCACCCTTATCTCCAGACCCTCCTCTTCTCTGCTGCTGACCACAGGTTCCTGAAGTTCCTGTGAGCAGATACTGAATCACAGGATCAGAGAATCATTATGGCTGGGAAAGTCCTCTAAGATCATTGAGTCCAACCATTCCCCCGGCACTGCCATGGCAACCAGTAAGCCATGTCCCCAAGTGCCACATCTACACATCTTTTAAACCTCCCCCAGGGATGGTGACTCCACCACTGCCCTGGCCAGCCTGTGCTGTGTCAGGACTCCATTGTGCTTCAGCCACCTTTGTCACTTCAGATCATCATAGCATCTTTTCTGGGGTCCCTTAGATAAACCCAGTGAACCCCTACCTCTTTCTTGCTGCTTGCGGTTTTCAATGATGCCTGGCGTGTCCACAAACGTGACTCTCTCCAGCAGTTTGTGGGGGACCTCAATGCCTATCAGCTTTTCCAAGAAGTTCTGCCCAAATTTCTCCAGGGGCGAGAAGGAGCGGGCACTGTCAGCAGCCATCACGATGCCCTCGATGGTCTTCAGCTTGGGGCCGTGCATGATGACAGTGAACTCGGAGGTGGTGGGTTCTGCCCCTGCACAGCAATGAGAGGAGCAGCAGAGGCATGAAATCCATGCCAGGCTATGGACACAACAGGGCTGGCCTGAGACTGGGAGTGCTGAGAGCATTGCATGCTTCTGAAGAGATGCAGGGGCAAGGCAAGCAGCATGAAATTCCTGCCCTGACTTCTTGGGAAGATGTCATGGGGTTGTTTTGTATGGGGACTGGTTTCTCTGGAAGTGGCCTGACTGCACAAGGTGTCATGGAGAACCGTCTCCTGGGAGCCCTCATTACCTCAGCACTGACCTGGCCATGGACATTTGCCCTTAGCTGTGAGATGACATCTGCGGGAGCAGGGAGGAAGGAAAGGGAAATGGCATTTCTCCTGGAAGGGTGAATGAGCTGGCTGCACATGAGGAGGGATAGGGAGAAGAGAAAGGTGAGCTACCCTTTTGACATGACTGCTGCTCACAGGATTGGGGTTGGGAGCTGTGAGCCCTGTGCTGCAGGATGAGGATGTTGTGGGAGAGATGCTCTCCACCCTTGGAAGGGTGGACAGAATGTGATGGGGAACCTCTCCTTTCACATGACACCGCAGCCAGGTGGCACAGAGCAGATCCCAACCTCCCAGCTGTAAGGAGGAATTGAAGACACACGGCTGGGAATTGCTGACTGCACGGATGTGGAAATGCAGGTATCGGCACCCCCTTGGCAAAGCAGTGAGTGTGGTACCTGTGTAGAGCTGGTAGGGAGTGTTGTCGAGCCCCAGGAGGTAGTTTATCATAGAGGATTTGCCGACGCTCCACGGTCCCAGGAATAGCACCATAGGCTTGGAAGTGATCTCCCCATCTGCGGAGAGGGGAAATAACAAGAGGAAGTGAAGGAACAATAGCCGTCGCCGCCGTGCGATTAACTCCCGGCTGTAACGAGCATCCCATCTGAGCGGCGCGGTGCTGCTGCCGGGGAAACAGCCGCCCTCCGGGGCCAGCAGCCATTCGCCAGCCAAGGCAGCGCCCCGCCGGCTGCGGGAGCGGGACGGCCCCGTGCTCTGCGGCAGAGCCCGCCTCGCTGCCTGACCTTCTCCGAGGTTTAGCCCTTCTTAGACTACGGAGGACTGGAAGGTCTTTTAAGGCTTGTCTCAGTTTGTTTGTGGTTTAGCCGGGTGAGTCTGGGGCTGGCTGCGGGCGGGGGGTGTTGTTTGAAGCAGCCGCCGCAAAGCACGGGGCGTGCCGCGGAGGAGGCCGTGCCGCGGCCGCGCCGGGCCTCGTGCACAGGGAGCTGCCGTGGCTTCGGGAGCAGCGCTGCGGCGCAGGGCTTGGTAAGCGCGGTGCGAGCCTCGAGCCAGCTGCCTGCAAGCCTTTCCACCATGCCCTCGCAGGGACCTACCCCCGGGCCGTGCCTCCCGACCCTCCGGCCGAGCTGGTCACTGGTCACTGCCTGGGTGTGAGCTGGGTGAGGCTCCAGCTGGATGTGGGGAGGTCAAACAGCCTCGCCTTGGGCTTGGGGAAAGGCAAGAGGAGAGTGAACTATAGTCCCCATCCTGCATTCTTCAAGTCACACAGTTTTCTCCGTGAGGATGGTGACCTGTGCCCATGCCATGCCATCAGTCCAGGAGCACAGAGGTCCCCAGACACACGCAGCCAGCACCCCCAGGAGCAATTTGGGCCCAAACAGGACTCATGCAATTAGCTTGTGCCCACGCTGCTTGACTCCCCAGCCCCCAGGACCCCAGGCAGGCAGCCAGTGGAGCCAGAGGAGCCCAGGGCCTATGCCAGCCCTCAAGATGTGCCCAGGACACATGGGAGCCTGTGAGTCCGAAACAGGACAAGAATAAAGAGGACAAGAATGGAAGTAAAACTCGGTGAGTTCCCATTGGTGAAAACTAACCCCATCCTATGCTCAGGGTGGGAGAGGGTCCATCCTGTTATTGCTAGCAGGAGTTCAGCCAGGGGATGGATGACACCAGAGGAGCTGGGAGCTGCTATCTCAGCTGGAGCAGAGCCTTCCCCCATGCCCAAGGCAAGGAGATGCCCTGGGCAAGCTGTGCTGTCCTCAGCACCTTCTCTTCAACCCCATGTCTAAGGCAGAACTATTTTCCATGAGGTAGCTGAGAGCCCCTGGTGCTCCATGGCTGCCACCCATGCACAAGCCAGCAGCATTCCAGCAGGCCAGTGATCCATCTCCAAGGTGGGGGAAACCACAAAGCCCCCGTGGTGCTCAGCTCCTGCCCCGAGGGTGCTGGAGGGCACTGCATGGCAGCTTCACACTGAACCCATCTGGCCATGGGAGCAGATGCTGGGGAGAACATTCCAACCTCCTCCTGCTCTATCTGCCCATCTCGGGCTCACTGTGTCACCTCTGGGGAAGGGAATGGGCTGGGGACATCTCTCCATGAGGCACTGCTGCATCCATACAGCTCAGCCCTCCTTCACAAAGCAGGGCAGCACCTCTGAAGCGGGGGATGCATGGCTCTTCCTGCACCCCACTCCCTGCCTGGCAGCTGCAGGAATCCAGCCTTGTCGTCTCACATGGGACCAAAACAAGTGTTGAAACCTTGGACTCTCATTATTCATCATTCCTCTGCTGCTCTGTCGCCGCTGCTCTGCTCTCTTGCCAGCTTTAATTAGGTTAAGTTGGTTGTTATTATTACTATTATCCCTGTGATGTTGTGCCAGAGGTTTGGGGTGGGTCCCTGTGTGCTCTTTCATAACACATCCCTGGCCAGGTGTGACTGTGTGAATGTGGGCACCTGTGAACTCCGGCTCTGCTGCACATCCTCCTCTCTGCTCCACGGAGCCAAGGTGGGCAGCGACGTGGGCAGCCCCCCTGCCTGGTCACCCACAGCCCCTCGAGCACCTCTGTGCCCCCCGTGGGCTTTGTGGGCAGTGCCCGGCGCCGCAACTCTGCAGGAAGTGCAGGAGCTGCAAGGAAGTGAGGCCGGGTATGGATTCCCTGCTGCTTGCCCCGAGGCTGGGAGAGAGGGAGCATCTCGCACCCGGGAGGGTGCTGGCCTGGCATCTGTCCCTGCCGTGTCCCCGTGCCGTGTCTGTCAGCAGCAATTCGTGTCAGCTTGGTGGCCCGGACAGCGGAAAGGAGCCGGGGCTCGCTGGCGGCCGGGCGGGGATGGCGGCAGCTCCATCACAGCGGCTCTCTCCAGCCACCCTGTGGCTGCTCGCTCTCAGCTCAAGCTCAGACGAGCCTCAAGCTCATCCCTCCGCAGAGCCTCCGCAGGGTCTGCTTGGGCTGCTCAGCTCTGGACATGGGAGCAGTTCGGATGTCCAAGTAATTTTCTTTTCTAGAGCAGTGGCTTTCTGGCTTTTTGCCACATGGCAAGACCTCACCTTTCTGTGAGGTTTTGCCATGTGGCTGTGCCAGGCTGCCCTTGGTTGGAAGCACTGCTGCTCTGGGGTGAAGAAGAGACAGCTCTGGGGAGAACTTAGAGCCCCTTCCAGTGACTAAAGGAGATCCAAGAGAGATGGAGAGGGACTTTGGATGAGGGTCTGGAGTGACAAGGCACAGGGAAATGGCCTCACAGTGCGAAAGGGCGGGGTTAGATGGGATTTAGGAAGAAATTGTTCCCTGTGAGGGTGGGCATAGAAAGGGCGGGGTTAGATGGGATGGGATTTAGGAAGAAATTCTTCCCTGTGAGGGTGGGCATGCCCTGGCACAGGATGCCCAGAGAAGCTGTGGCTGCCCCTGGATCCCTGGAAGTGTCCAAGGGCAGGTTGGATGGGTCTTAGAGCAGCCTGAGACAGTGGAAAATGTCTCTGCCTATGGCAGAGGGTGGAACTAGGTGGGCTTTAAGGTCCTTTCCAACCAAATCATTCCATAATTCTATGATTAATCCTGGGCAGGGCCTTGTCTCCCCTTGTCCTCAAGCCCAGCAGATATGCCTGGTGTGGCCTCTCCTCCATGTGCAAGTCTATCCTGAGGATGCTGAGCAAAGCAGAGGACTTGCAAAACCTCCTTCCTCTCCTGGTTCCTACTGAGCCACGGGCACCAAGGTCTTCTTTGTCCTCAAGCCACCCAGGAAGGCTGGAACACCTGGGGACACTCCCAGCATCATCCCCACTTCTGTCCCACCCCTGTGCCACAAACACCACCGGCCATGTGCCCATGGCACGGATCCAGCAAGCCTTGGAGGGCACCCCTTGCTCCCAAAGCTTCCAAATCCATGAGTATCCTGACAACATGTGTGCCCACAGGCGGAGGGACGAGCCCACGTGGCTGCAGACGGCCTGTGCCTCCCCCGTGTGCCCACCCCGGCAGCACGTGTGCGAGCGCCTGAACCCGAGATAAGACAGCTATCGGAATATGCTATAAATACCCACAGCCCCCTCCACTGCTGGCACACTGGCACGGCAGGGAGCCAGAGGCTCTCCAGGCACTGGCAGGGCTCGGCTGTGGCCCTGCCCAAAGGAGCCTGGTTTGGCAGGGTGTGGCAGCGTGGCCGTGGGGCAGGACAGGAGGGACAGAAGATGGGATTTCCTGGCAGGAACATTGTTCCCGTGGCTGAGCACCAGGCCCAGGGGAAGGGCTGGGTGTTGGCTGGCATTTCTTGGACTGCCTCCCATCTCCTGATCCTCCTGGGGGACCTGGCAGCACACCCTGAGCAGGATAGGCAGGGAGAGGAGCCAGCTCGAGCTTCTGAGGGGGCTGAGGCTGCTGGGCAGGGGCCAGCCCATGTTACTGGGACAGCTGCTGTGGGATCAAGGGTGGACATTCAGGAAAGTTTCTGCACGTAGGAGAGTGAAGGGTGGGAAGAGATCCCCTCTATAGGACGAGCTATCATCTGGGCTCCTCCAGTTCATGCCACGGGTGAGAGAGCAACGTAAAGGTTGAACACATACAGCCATGGAATGGTTTAGGTTGGAAAAGCCTTCTCAGATGACCAGTTCTAAATGCTCCCGCAGCACTGCCAAGGCCACCACTAACTCATGTCCCCAAATGCCATATCCACAGGGCTTTTAAATCCCTCTGGGATTAGGGACCCCACCACTGCCCTGGGCAGCTGTGCCAGGGCCTGACAGCCCTTTCTCTGAAGAAATTTTCCCGATATCCAATCCAAGCTTCCTCAGGTGAAACTTAAGGCCATTTCTTCTTGTCCTGTCCTTTGTTCCCTGAGAGTGGGGCCGGTCCCTACCTGGCTCCACCCTCCTGTCAGGGAGTTGAAAGTGAGAAGGTCCCTCCTGAGCCTCCCTTTCTCCAGACTGAGCCCCCCATCTCCCTCTCATAGGACTACCAGAAACGCCTTTGAACCCTGGCTGGAGGAATATGCTGCCTCTCAGTCTTGAACCAAGAGGGAAAGGTGTCAGAGCCTGGGCGAGGTGAGGATTGGCGGGAAGGGCGCTGTGGGGACACACAGTCGGGCTGGGACAGGTGCTGGAAGGGCTGGGGACGCTGTCCCGGCGGGGATGGCGGGTGCCGGCCCTGCTCGGTGCCTGGGCAGCGCGGCTGCATTGCGCCAGGAGCCCGGGGAAGCCGGGGGACAGCGCAGAGCGGAGGCGGTGCCGGCAGCATGCAGGGAGCGATACCAACCTGTGGCCGAGGAGCCCAGGGTGCGTCCGGGGTAAGCTGTTAGCGAGGGACACGGGGAGAGAGAAAAGGAACCGTGAGTCCGAGGAGGGATGCGACAGCCCGGATGTGGTCCAGGACAAGGAGGGAACCGATGGCCACATTCCCAGCAGGAGACAAGGAGTTACAGCCTGGGAGCGACCTGCAGCTCCCAGGACAAGCACTGAACCCCTGTCTGCCTTGCAGGGCAGGGATGTGGCTCTGGGTGCTCTGCATCCCAACCCCTGCTCTGCGGGATTGTTGCCTTCTCTGGCATCACCCACTGAGCACACGGAGCCCAACAAGCCAGGGTTAGACAGCCATCAACCCAGCAAGTGTCCTGACAACCCCAGTGACAGGGTCACCTGGACCCAGCCCCTGTGGCTGGTGATGGTATCTGGGAGGTCATTCCCTACACAGGGACACTTGCTAATTAGCATACATCAGTAATTAGGGTCACCAGCATGCACCACAACCTGGTGTGACCTCACAGCAAGCTTTCCATGGCTGCACTGGGAGAATCCCTCACCCTCAGCTAGGGATAGTCCCTCCAAGCACAGAGTTGGATCCAGCCAGAGCATGTCTGCATCCACGTGGGATGGCAGAGCAGAGAGGCAGGAGGGTGGCAGGCAGGGAGAAGGAAATGGCATCTGCCAGGCTTAAGCAGAGGGTGTGTGGGAGCTTTCTGAGATGCACCCTGACAAGTCAGAATTGATGGTGACAGCCACAGCTCCCACAGGACTCCATGGGAGTTTTCACATGTTGTGGGGAGCAGAGGAGCTCTTTGGATTACACTGCAGTGAAAGGAGCTGATGGGAAGGGAGACAAAATGGAAGGCTGCCACGTAATGGAGGGGCCAGGGTGCTTGCCACGGCACCCCTCTATATTGGTTTACACCTCCAAAGGTCACACATATTCCATGACAGGCCTGCCCCAAAGCTCCCCCAGCTGTCCTGCTCCTCCCAGCCAGCTGAGCCGGCAGCTCTGTGCCCTCCAGCCTCCCCCCAGCACGGAGAGGGGGCACAGGGGAGAGCTGGGAGCACCTCCCAGCCTGCAGGGACAACACCGATGGAATGAACCCGCTCAGGACACGGGCACTGTGAGGGGAAGTGTTAAGAAGGCTCCCTGAGCTCCACTGTGTCCTCACCTGCCCTCCAAGGTCAAGAGAGTTCCCTGGGCCAACCCTATAACTAATGTGCAGGTTTCTCTGATTACAGTGCTAATGAGGGACTGGGGAAAGCTGGATCTGTGGGTATGAAAGGCAAACTGCTGAGCTGTAGGTTTCCAGATAGGGTTGTGAGTGCCAGGGTATGGCTGGGCTGTCAGAGATCATTCAAGAAGTTTGGTGTTCGTACAAATTTTTTGGGGGGGAGCATGGCCAGGGTGTCTCATAGCTGAGACAAGGACTGGAGGCAGTGCAGCATCCCTGTGCCCTTCCCTGGGGGTCAGGAGGGGACTGCGGGTCACCAGCTCCAGGGCCACAGCACCGTGAGGGTGCCCTGTAGGACACAGTAGGGTGTACTGGGACCTGACCTGGAGACTGTCAGCCTGAGGGGTGGCTGTTCCTCACAGTGAGGTGGAACAGACCATGGAATGTTGAGGTGAGGCCAGGATGAACACCAGGACCTGCTGTCCGAGGTGAGTCCTGCTCAGGAGCTGGGTTTGAGAGGGGCTGGGAAAACACCAGGGTCAGTGGTTGTTTCCTCAGGAGCTGAGAGGGAGAAAGCCAGCAGGAGCCTGGGGAACACTTAAACACTTGTTTCTTCCCAAAAAAGGGAGCAGGGAGGTGGCTGCTTGGGCATGGGATGGATTAAGGGTAGGGTGGAATGTCCTGAGGGCTGGAAACTGAGGCTGGGGGCTGCATCCTCTGGCTGTGAACAGCAAAATGGGGGTTAGAGCACACCAGCTGCCCCTGTGAACAGCAAAATGGGGGTTAGAGCACACCAGCTGCCCCTGTAACCCCCAAACATCCTCCTAAACTGTGTCCCGAGTTGACAGCAAACATCAAGCACCAGAGCAGCTTGGAGAGGAAGTTGGGGTGTTGCCAGAGGACAGGCCAGCCACCATGGGGTGACAATCAGGACATGTTGTGAACCTCAATTACCCTCCCACAGGGTAACTTCCCTGTGCTCCCCACTGGCTCTACACTGGAGATGGCCTGGCTGGTTAGGGAGATGTCCAAGCCTGCTTATAGAATGTCTACCCAGACTTAGGAGTTGCAGGAGGGATGCCTGGAAAGCAGGAGTTCTGCTCTACAGGGATGTGCTGCAGCTGAGTGTAGAGCCTGTGTGCTGGTGGAGCAAGGCCAGCTGTAAAAGAAAGATCTGTGGGGAGGGTGTATCCCAGTCCTGCCTCAACAGAACGGAGGGCATGGCTGCAGGAGCGTGGGCCTGGACACCTGGGGAGGCAGGCAGAGCTGCAGAAAAAGGAGGACAATTTCAGGGCCTTGGCAGGAGGCTGCCATGGGCATGAAGTCCTGGGACACTAGCAGCAGGGACTCCAGCATCCCCTGGATACTCAGGAGACATCTGGCCCTGGTTCCTGTGCTTGAATAGAAACTCAGAAGAGAATCAATGCAGTGGACAAGGAAGTCAGACTTGGGTTTGAGCCATCTGTGCTTGGAAAATGAGGCTGCTTGTGTTTCTTGGATCACAAGAACTTCCTCTCTCTTGTGAGCATCTTGGGGCAGGGCTGCACTTTCCTCTTCTGGAGGGACACATGCGTGACCTGGCTCAGCCCACACCATGCCAGGGCCACGGGGACCTGCTCACCCCATCCATTGTGTCTGAGGTTGCCAAGGGCTGGAAACTCTCAGGATGAGTGAAGGCTGTGGAGCTTGAGGAATACCCTGCCCACATGGCTGTGTCCTGTACCCAGCAGGAAGGATGCCAGCTCCTGCCACCCCCAGGAAGCTCATCTCCAGCCTTGAGAGGTCCTGAGCTTCCTTGCCAAGCCTGTTTCATTGGGCCATGATCTCTGCTTGGCAGGGGTACAGGGCATTGATGCTGAGCAGGTGGGAGACCCGAGGCAGGCAGGGCTCAGTGCTCAGCCCACACAGATGGCTCTGACAGCAGATGGGCTGAGGCAGAGGCAGGAATTCCTGCTGCTGGGTTCACTAGGGCATGGCCTCTAAGTGCAGCGTGTTCATGGACTCCCATGGACTGGGAAGCTGCAAAGGAGGACACACTATCCACACTGCCCATGATCTGCTCTCTGTGCTGTTATCTGCATCCCAAGGACCTGCTGGTGCCAGAGACCCCAGTGCCCGTGGCATTACCTGTGATCTCGTGCTGCCTCAGCTCGTTGTATCTGTAGGAGTGTTCCAGGGGCTTGATGGAGGAGTGGTAGATCTTCCTCAGCCGCTGCAATACTCCTGGGGGGCAAAACATGTGGGCAGGTGAGAGGCAAGCCCCACCAGCCTGGGTGAGACCCTCCTGAGGCCATTCCCTGCAGATTCTGAGGGTGGCCCAGCCATGGATCCAGGGGCTTGGCTTACAGCTGAAATCTTGGTCAAACTGATCCCAGACACATTTTGCCTGGAGGAGTTGTGGCTGCCCCTGAATCCCTGGAAGTGTCCAAGGCCAGGCTGCATGGGGCTTGGAGCAACGTGGTCTATGGAAGGTGTCCTGCTCATGGCAGAAGGGTGGGATGAGATGGTCTTCACCATCTCTCCCAGCCCAAGCTGTTCTAGGATTTTGAGGCCTCTCCCCTGCTTATGTTTCCCACTGGGCACTGTCCCCTTCTGCTCCCAGCAGCTGATGGGAGGAGCACCCTTCCTAAGTGCTGTTTAACACTCTACTCCCACCATCCCCAAAAGCCCTCCACCATGGTGCCAGAGCCCCCTGGCATAGCCCCTGAGCTGCTTGCTAGAAAAAAGGAGGAGCTTTTTCCACAGTATCTCTTACCACTGCCTTTCCAGCCCAAACTGCCAGCGGGGCCAGCAGAAGCAAACCTTAGAATAGCAAAACCCAATATATAATTGGAATAAAAATCTCAGCCCTTTGTTACAAAGTTGCTCCAGGTTTCTTTGAGCAGGGATGCACCTGATTCACTGTCTGCATCTACCAGCCTCTATACCCTCCTAATTCTTGTATGCCCTCAGTGATGTCCTTAAAATACATAAAATATGTTAACCCAAGAGCAACCAAAGGGCTGTTATTGAAGATCTGGCATTACTAGACATGCAAGAAGCAAGGTTAAAATCAAAACACAAGAGAAGGAAAATCCTGTCCACGGTCTTAGTGCAGGGCATGTGTGGCCTCCTCACCTGAGACATCATCGGCAGGCTTTTCCTCATTGAGCTTCAGGGTGTTCTCCAAGTGGGACCGGTCGCGCTTGGTCGGCTCGCTGGCATCTTCAACCTCTTCTGGAGGAGAAAACAAGGAGACCTGTTACTGCTGGAGGGGGGAACCCATACAGGAGCTCACACAAGCAACTGCCAGGGAGAAGGCATGGGGAGCACACACACCCTGAGCCTGCGGGCACGCCATGCCCACAGCAGCCGCTGTCACCCTTGGCATGCCACGTGCTTTCCCTTTAGCACAGGCTCGTGGAGGCTGCCAGGGCCATGGCTGCTGGGGGAAGCGTCATGGGCAACTGCTTGGCTCCGAGGAGGGGCTGGCTGCTCGTGGGGAATGCAAAGGATGTGCCTGGAAGGGGCTCCCGGGGTTGGGATGTAGCACGAGCGCACACGGCAGCTGCTGCCCAGCGGGGCCCTGGTGCTTCCCCCGGCAGCTGCGGCTCCACGGGCTCGGCCTCGGGTGCAGGCTGTGTGCTGCCATCTCTCTGGCTGCCCACTCCCCCAAAAAACTACACTGTGAGCTGGAGATGTGGAGTCCAAGGCTGGGACTCCTCCAGCTCTTGTGGGACAGGCCAGGCTGGCCCATCGTGGCTGCCCCGCCTTTGCCACTGGGGCTGTTCCCTCACGCTTCTCCCACCTCTGCCTCCATGTTCCCCTATCCCTCACGGCTCCGTGCCAGGCGTGGGGAGCATGAGGCAGATGCCTCCACTAGGGAAGGCACCCCACTGTCCCCAAAACAGGGAGACAGAGGTGTCCTTGCCATGGAGGTGCTGGCACACCAGGAGCTCCCAAGAGCTTTTTGATATGGGGAGCTGGGTTAGACTTTAGCAGGGGTTTGGGGACAGGTCTGGGGACACAAGGATCAAGCAGGACACCACTAAGTCCTGAGACTGTGTTGAGCATCTGCTGAGTGTTGGGCTGAGGAAGACCTTTTGACTTGCCAAGTGAAGACACAGAGACCAAACTGGGTTTGTTTTTGGGTAAAATGGGAGGCTTTTTGAGCTGGGACATTACAGATGAAAACAACAAAAATACTAAGCTGGGTCCAAAGGTCACTGCCCAACCTGTGGGCCAAAGTCTACAAATATTTCTAGGAAGTCGTGGTGGGGGGTGTCCCTTTCCCCTAGTTAGCCTTTCACTGATTGAGCAGGGCTGGTGCCTCAGCAGCTCATGGCCTGGATTAGTTCTTCTCACCTTCCCTACAAGCCAAGAACTGGTGGAGAGGAGCTCCACAATCCTGGGAATCCCACCATCCTAGGAGCATCCTGCCCCTGCACAAGCCGAGGGCCGGGGGACTCTGCGGGTGGTGGATAAAGAGTCTGTAAGAGATCTGCGGGTGCTGAAAGGGGCCTGGAGGTTAAACATTTTATCCATGTCCACATCCCTGAGGAGAAGTCATGGACTTGGAGTGGAGAGAGGGGAACATCAGTCAGTTTTGGCACCACTGTGACAAGTGCCCGCGTGATGGGCATCCTGCTGCGGCCTCGCTGCCCACGGCCGAGCGCTGTTAGGGGCGGGCGGGGAAGCAGAAGCGTTAGGAGAGGGCCATGCACTAGGTCAGGTTTAATGTGCCAAGCTCAGCTCCGCTGGGTTGATGGGAGGTCACTCTTGCTGCTACAGCACACCCACAAGAAAAGACTCCAACCTATCTGGCTGAGCCGGGTCTCGGCGGCAGCTGGGGTGGTGCTGGGGACTTCTGTTCCTGCCAGTGGGGTCTTGTTTGCAGGGGGGTCTGCTGCTGCTGGGGGATCTTTTGCCACTGCAGGGAGGTCTTCTGCTGCTGGAGGGTCTTCCTCTGCTGTTGGTGGGTCTTCTGTTACTGGTGGGTCTTCTTTTGCTGGTGGATCTTCCACCATTGGTGGGTTTTCCACTGCTGCTGGTGGGTCTTCTGCTGCATCCCCACAGGGTGGGTGATGGCAGCTGGCAGGGCCATCCCTGGCTTCTTCTGTGCCAGCAGCTGCTGGTTTGCTGTGGCTCTTTTTGTTGGAAGTGCCAGCTGCTTCCTTGTCATTCTCTCCAGATTCATTCTCTGGCCTGTCACTATCTTCGTCAGACTCCTTCTCCTCCTTAGATTCTCCCTCTTCAAACTCTTCCTTGCCTCCATCTACCTCAGACTTCCCATGTTCACCTTCCTCAGACTCTCCTTGCTCGTCATCTTCCTCTGAGCTCTGCTCATCCCTTTCCTCCTCTCCCTCAGGGGCAGATGCTGCTCTTGGCACCTCTGTTTCCTCTTCCCCTGGCTGCCCTTCCTCCTCAGAGCCTCCCTTCTCTGTGCCGGGCTCCTCATCCTCCTGGGCATGGATGTCATCCTGTGTGCCAGGCCCATGTTTCCCTTCATGATGAGCTGTCATGGTTTCCACCCCTGAGCTCTGTTCTTCCTGGCCCTGCTCCTTGCTGCTCTCCTCTGTCTGGCTGTCCCCTGGCCCCAGGCCCCTCCTCAGGCCACCCGCCGGCTCTTTCTCCCCCTCTTCATGTCCCTCCTCGGTGACACCAGGCAAGGAGGCATTGGCAGTGCCACTGTCTTGCTGCTCCTCAGGGCTGCCATCATCTGCCTTCTCCTCCAGCCGGGGCTCCGTGCCTGGCGAGGGGCTCTCGGCAGCACCATCCCCATGGCCCGTGCCGGGGCCACGCGGCTCTAAACGATGAGAACAGCTCAGTCAGTCCCACCCGTGCTGGCCCGTGGCCACCGGGGCACCTGCCAGGACCCTGAGGGACCAGTTGTGCCTGGTACCAAGAGGCTTAAACTCTTCCCTAAGCCTTCTCCAGCTCCAGCTCAATTGTCTGTCCCTGTTGCAAGAAGTTGGGTGCAAAGATGTTTGTGGGGGGTGAAGCGGAGCCGGCAGGGGCTCTATGGCTCCACCAGCCCTGGCTGCCTGGCACTGGGGCTGCTGCCTGCCCCAAAGCACTGCAGGAAGGTGGCAAAGCTGCCCTAAACATGGGGAAAGGAGTAAAAATGGCAAATTTTGAGGGGCTGTGGGCACTTGGCAGGTTAAAAGGGTCCTTCCCCAGCCCTGACTCAAGAGACCATCACACCAGCCAAGGTGGGCAGTGAAGTGAGGGGGAGGAGGAGGAGGAAGAAGGGGCTTCCTGGCATGAGGGGCTGCCCAGCATGGGGTCCTGCCTTCAGGCAGGGCCTAACCCTGGCCATGGGGCTCAGGAGCTATTTATTGTGAGTGTCCCTTCACTAGGAAAGCATGTGCCATGCCGTGCTGCTGCTGAGGACAAAATGAGTGTGTTCTGTGGCCCAGGAGAATCCATCCGTATTTTCCATAGGCTCCAACTGCAATTTAACATCGGTCAGCGGGTGCCAAAAATAAAAGATCACGGCTATACTGTCTCCGTTACAAACAGTTGCTGCTAGTCTAAATAATCCCCCCAAACGTCTCATGCCAGGGGAGTGTTTCAGAGGAAAATAATTCCTTTGTACTCCAGCTGGCAAGCAGAAGCCAAGCAGGAAAAAAGGCCACCTCCACCCAGGCTGCAGGAGGAGAGGGGCACGGCCAGTCCCGTGCTCTGGCTCCTGCTCCGTGTCCATGCAGGAGCCACAGGACTGTGTCCAGCAGGACCTCGGCAAAGCTGGAGCTCACTGGGCTTGGCCACAGTGCCCGTGGTGGCCGAGCACAGGAGGAGCTGGGCTGGGTCAGTGTGGGGCCAGCCCCAGACCCCTCAGCCCAGTTTGCCCTGGGGATGCCAGGGGGTGGTTTAATCTCCGTGGCACTGGGGCTGGTGGGGCTGTGAGCTGGGATCAGGTGGCATTGGGAGGCTCGTGCCGTGCCCGCAGTGGGCACTGGGAAGGACAGGCTGCCCCCCAGCCTGCCCTCATTGCCAGTGGCTCTTGGTTCCTTGGCACAGCAGAGCTGCAGCCTCTGCCACAGCCCCTCACCCTGCCCAAAGCAGATGCACAGGTCACCCTTGCTCTGGCCTCGCTGACCTCCCTGTCCTCTGCTGGCACGCAGCTCACAGGTGCCTCCAGGTGCCCAGCTCAGCTCCCAGATGGAGGGAGATAGCTGTGGGCAGCACCCACGGCCCTCCCTTCCACCCTGGTGCTGCAGGTCACCTTCCTGCAAGACCCCTGGGACCCTGAGGAGCCTCTTGAATGGAAATAGCTGTATTTGACTGCAAAGCCCTGAGGGGCTGGGGCCAACATGGCCCTGACTGGCCCTAGTGGCCTGGGAACCACCCTGAGTCGTTAGAGGGTCCCCTCAGCTGATGGGAAGAGGGATATTCTCAGTTTGGCCCCAAAATAGCTGGTGACCTGGAGAGCTGGGAGAGGAGTGAGGATCAAAGCAGAGGAGGAGGGCAGGACCAGGCAGAGGAGACCCTGAGAGTCCTCGAGGCTTTGTCTGGGGCCTGTGTGCCCCCTCTGACCCAGAGGGACCATCACCCACCATGGCCTGGCACAACGAGCCATCCCTCAAGGAAAAAGGGAAATATCCCCCAGGCACTCAGATGGGGATGTCCCTGCCGCCGTGCTGCTCACGGGCTTTATCTCCTGTGACCTTCAAGGTCTGACATAAAGTCCCTGTCCCCTCTTCACCTCCTTCTCCCTGTTTCCCCTACATGGTCGCCCAATCCACGGTGAATTGTGCTGACCTGCACATGGTGGGCCGATGAGTGCAAAATGGGCCGAAGGTTACGGGCTTAACACCCTCCGGAGGCTAAAAATACGGCACGGCAACTGTACGGGGCACCGGGAGGAGCAGCCCCGGTGCAGCCCCGGCCCCGCGGCCAGCCAAGGGTGACGTCCGCACCTGGGGGCCCCCGTGGGCTCCGGGAGGGGACAGCCACGGTGTAAAGTGACACCGGGGCTCCCCGTGTTCACACCTTGCATTGTGCCAAGCAGATGGGTGGCATCGGAGAGGAGACCTCGCCCTTTTCCCCTCGGGGACTTGACCTCCCTGCGAGTCCCTGGCTTGCATCGCCCCTGCCACCCCTTTCTCATGCTGGGAGTTTTGTGAGCTGCCAGGGGACACTTTTTCGGGTGGTGACAGAGGGGATGGAGACCCCGCGGAGCGGTTCAGGATGCCGTGGCGGGTTTGCACCCTTTGCAGCCTGTGCGGGAAGGGGGGGGCATGGCTGAACATCACGGTGTGCCTCCATCCCTGCCCCGGGACAGAACAGCAACGGCCTGACGGCAGAACGGGTCCTCCAGGGGGATGGTGAGAAGGGACAGATGGGCACAGGTGGCCCTGGAGGGACACTCTCCCCCTCCAGCAGAAACCGGAGCCGTGAGCGTGGGGCCGGCGATGGCAGGGCTGCGGGGATGGCTTTTCACACGCCCCCTTCCCCTGCCCAGATCCCGATCCCTGCTTCCCTGCGGATATTATCCACTGGCTCCTGCAAGTCCTGTGCTCCCTGTGTCCTCCCAGGGGCGTCTTGACACGACCTTGTATCCCAAATATCCAATCCTGCCTTTATTCTGGCAAAGCCCTTTAAAACTTCATGGAATCTGACTGGACACAAAGAAGCTGTCAGGGAGTTCCTGGGATTTTCCATATGGACCTGCTGCAGACCCCACCTTTCCTGTGAGACCCCTTTTCATGGTGATGTCCCTGCCCTCCAGAGGCTCTGTGGGCCCCCACGGCCCTCGCTCAGGGCCATCCCCCCAGTGCTCCTCCAGCCCAGGACCCAGAGCAGGGGGAGCCCGGCTCCAGCTCCAGTCTGGGGTCAACCCCTTCAGAGGGAAGTGTCCCACGAGGGCTCAAGCAGCCCAGAGGACACAAACACAAGGATGGGGCTGAGGATGGGGTTGGCTCTCCAGACCTTTGTGCACCCCAAAACTCAGGATGCCCAGACACATAATCACATCCCGGAAGCTTATGATCCAAAAAGTCCAGCATAAAGCAAATATATTCCTGGTTTTCAATGCCTAGAGGGAGGTCTAGGAAACAGTTTTGTCAGACTAACTTGACCTCATTTGTACAGAAAATTTTAAATTTACTTTTAAAAAGTTATGAAGTGATTCGATTTCTATAAATGGTTGGATAGAACCATACAATAATTTTTTAAATATATGGTAAAGAAACCTCACAAGGATCTACCAAAGGAATTAAAACCAGACTTGGAGCTTTCTAAATAGAGATTAAAATATGGAATCACTGCTACAGAGTGTTTCTTGCACTGTCTCCCCACTGTCAAGGGACACTGAACCCTGACTTGCAGAAGACAAAGACATGAAGATGAGGAAGGTGGGAGATGAAGGACCTGCTGCTTCCTGGCTGAGGAGATCTGGGTCCATCAGTGAGCAGAGGGCCAGGAAACGTCAGGTATTTTGGCACAGGCAGATATCACGCTGTACATCGAGGAACATCCAGCTGCAGTGTCCCTTGCAGCTTGGGGGAATGCTGGGGGACTCAAGGGACATGCTGTGGCATGGCTGGGGCTGGAAGGGCCCCTTCTTCCAGAGGAAGGGTGTCCAAAAAGTCTCACTGTTCCTGTCCCCTGGCCTCCAGCCATGGGAGGCTTCACCAACCCACCCCAGGGGAGTCCCCTGGGGGACATCCTCTGTCCATTCAAGGCCAGACTCCTGGCTCCCCATCCCTCCTTGGGTCATCCCAAGCATTCCTGGCCACCCGGTCACCCCTTGGACTTGCCAGCCTGGATTCTAATGCCTGATGTCCCACAAGTTCCTCAAACCCATGGCAATGTGGGGACAGACCTTGCCCGGCCATGCTGAGCAGGGGGCCCAGCCCTGGGGTCTGATGTGACAGCTCTGGGGACACCAGCACAAGGACAGGGCCACACAGCTCTGAGCCCTTTTCCACAGTGTACCCGGGGCTGTGTGACCCCAAGGGCTGAGCTGTGTGCCCAGCTGGCACCGGGGCCATGCTGCCACTGCCAGCACCCCATCCTGGCTAGGGGTGCCTGTCCAGAGCCTCCCCTGCCCCCTGCAGCCCCCACCAGCACAGGAGCTCACGGCTCCCTGCAGCAGTCACTAACAAGGGAAATGTCCCCATGAGCTGGAAATAGCTCCGTGGAGTCCTGCACAGCCCCGGGGCTGCTGCTATTCCTGCAGAGCTCAGGGAATAGGCAATTCCAGAAGCAATCTGGTCACCCTGACCCAGTGGCCAGGCTGGGATTTCACCAGCTTGGCGAGTGGGACACAGTGGAACATGGCAAGAGCGTTGTCCTTGGGCATGGCACAGCCCTCCCAGCCTGGTGCCAGCCCACAGAGACCTGCTGGTACCTCTGTGCCACCAGGGCCATGCACAAGCAAGGTCTCCTGGCCTTCCTGCCCAGCTGGATGTCACCTACGCGTTGGGAAAAGGATGGCAGATGGAGAGGGTGTCACAGCAGAGCCAACCTGCCTGGCATCTGCCTTGCTTTGCTCAGCCAACACCTTGGGAGTAAGATGGGGCACCCACAGGGACCAGGTTCTCCTTGGGGTGAGGCGCCAGGGGTGTGACAGGGAGGTAGGTGGCACAAGCACATAATGCACCCGAGGCACCCCAAGCCCCTTGTCTCACACACACCCAATGGCAGTGCTGCCCATGGCTGTGCTGGTGCTGGAGGCTGGAACAAGTCCAGAGAGGTGTCACTGGGACACAGAGGTCCCCACCTCTGGGGAGGTTGGTTACTGTGGGGGCCATTGGCCTGGCATGGTCAGGGTGGGCTTGTCCCCATGGCTGCTGTGCCCAGGGCCCTGAGCCCACACAAGGTGTGGCAGTCCTGCTCCCAAGATGTTCTGCCCTGGGAGGTGGAGCCCGCCCTAAAATGACACATTCCAAGGTGATGGAGAACACCCCAAAATGCCACGAGAATGTGGTGATGGAGCTCACCCTGAGGTGACACCTTCCCGGATGAGGTAGGACGAGGACTCCCAGAAGCCGAGCTGGCACAGACCCCTCTGCTGTCACCAGGAGGGGTCTGTGCCAGCCCTGCAGTGCCTTGCAGGAGGACACCACTGTGCCAAGGCTTTTCCCAAGCCCTCTCTCAGCTCAGAGGTGGTGATGGCATGGCCTGGAATTGCCCTCCCACTCAAACCCACGATGGCTGCAGAGCCAAGGCATCCCCAGGGCAAAGTGTCTGGGCACTGCCCTGCCAGCATCCCTGCAGCCCACTGCTGCTGGCCACAGGGGTCACCAAGCCTGGAAGGGATGACTGGGCTCTGCCTGAGGAGTGAGTGTGCTCCCCTGGGCAGGAGCAGATGGAGTATTGGGTGAGTGCCCTTGCCACGAGCCACTGCCCAGCCCCACGGTGGGTGCTGCTCCCTGCCAGGCTCCTGGCAGCCACAGCAGCTTTGCCAGCCCCAGGCACGTGCGCACGGAGCTGCCTCAGCGGGGGCTGTAAGAGCACAGGCACAGGGCAATGCCCACCCCCAGCCTCTGGGAATGGTGGCAGGGTCCTGGCAGCCTCAGGTGCCACTAAACCCAAGGGACCACACCTTGCTGTGATGTTCCAACAAAGCCCCTGGTTCTCCACTGGACTTTCACCCCTTCTCTTCCCTGCACCCCAAAGGAGCTGGGTCTGAGAGTTCAGCTTGGCGCCAAAGGAAGAGCAAAACTCATCCTGCAAGTCCCACCGGTCCCTGAGGAGCAGAAGCATGGGCCGGAGGCATACCACTGCTTAGAGCTTTTCTGGAAACCCACAATACTGGGGTGAAAACACGTGACCCTCAATAAACAGGTGGGGACTTGGGGGACCCCTCAGAACTGGTCCTGGGGCTGCCAGACCCCCATGTGCCTCCTGGCCCCAGAGCCTCCTCTGGGATGGGGGATCCCCGTGCTGTGCTGTGCCAGCCTCAGCCAAACCAAGACGTGGGCTGGTGGTCATCCACGATGGAGACAAGCTTCTGATGTCCCACAAGGCCACCAGCCCCGCTTGGAGCGGCACCAGCCACCAGCCATGCCCGCAGAACACCCTCCCAACCCCCCTGCACAGACTGCACCCGCAGCCCCATGGAGGTCACCCCACCTCTGTCGGGGTGTGTCGCCGGCCCCCAAACCCATTCATTCCCGAGAATGGCCCAAGATGTCCTTAAAAGGCCAAAACTCGGCGGGGCCGGGGGTGCCGGGCGCTGGCAGGCGGCAGCTGCGGGTGCCCGCGCGGGGCCGCGGCGGCGCGGGGCGGGGGGGCGGCGGCCGGGGGGGCTGCCGGGGCACGGTGTCCCCTTACACGGCTGTTTCCATACTTAGCCGCCCCCCTCCCGGCTGCGCGGCCGCCGGAGCCCGGCCAGGCAGAGAACCAGCCCAAATTAACTCAAGGGCAAGCAAGGGTACCAGCGGTGCCGCGCCGCCCCAGGGACACCCGGCCGGACAGCGCGGTGAGAAGCGGCGGTGGGACAGATCGGGGAAGGGGATCCGGGGTCCTCAGAGATCCCCAGTGCCCTGGCACCCTCCCCTCACAGCCCAAAATCAAGGCACCGCGGCAGCCGCAGGTGACACTGCCGCAAGGCGTGTCAGCGGCAGCACGGCCCCTGTGCCCAGAGAGTCTCTGTGAGAGGGACCCCAGTCTGCGCCTCCCGCCATCCCCTCCTGTCCACAGCCCCCCAGCACGTTTCCCTGCACATTTTGGGGTGGCTCTGCAGCCTTGCAAGAGCTGCTGGGGAGCCCGGACCGCTGTGCCCCTGCCACCCTGTCCTGCTCCAGGGCCAGGCTCACTGGGTGCCCCGGAGCTTCTCTGCGCCCTCAGTCCCACAGGCACCATGATTCTGTCTGCCACCCTACAGGACCCCAGAGACACCCACAGACCAACAGGAACCTGCAGCCCACAGGCACCCAGAGTCCCAGAGGTGCTCACAGCCCCACAGGCACCCCCAGCCAACAGGCACCCACTGCGCCATAGGCACCCTCTATGGGTACCCACAGCCCCATAGGCACCTACTGCCCCACGGACATCCACAGCCCCACGGGCACCTGCAGTCCTACAGGGATCCCACACCCCATGGGGCTCCCACAGCCCTGTAGGAACCCACAGCCCCACAGGAGCCTGCAGCCCAATGGAGACACCCAGCTCTGTGGGGACCCCCAGCCCCATGGGGACCTGCCAGCCCCAAGGGGTTGCCGCAGTCCCAAGGGCACCCACAGCCCCATAGGAACCCCACAAGCCTGGGCACCCGGAGGCACCCACAGTCCCACAGAGTCCCCACAGCCCCAAGGGCACCCCCAGCCCCACAGGGACCCTATAGCCCTGCCAGCAGCCTCAGCCCTCAGGCACCCCCAGCCCCCGGGGTGCCCCCAGCCCCCGGCAGCCCCAGCCCGGCGTGTGGCCGTACCTGCGGTGCCGAGGAGCAGGAGCGAGGCCACGCAGCAGCAGAGCAGGTTGAGGCCCTTCATGGTGGCTGCCAGGAGCTCCCTGTCGCTCGCTGCCTCTATTTATACGGCGGGGCGCGGGGCAGGGCAGGCAGGCCGGCAGCTGCCCGCACAGATGCTGCCGCCGCCGCTCTTCCGCTCCCAGGGGCCCTGGGCATGGGGACAGAGGTGGGACACAGAGGCAGCGCTGGGAGTGGCTCCTGTCAGGGATGCCAGGGCACGGGGCACCTCCGGCCATGGGGGCCCTGGGCTGGCACTGCTCGTGCGGGGTCACAGCCCCATCCCAATGGGAGGAGAAATGGATGCTTCTCTCCCTTTATTTGAATAAATTCCTGCAGGGCTCCTCTGGACTGTCCCCATCCAGAATCCTGCTCGTGTGGGGTACTGGGGCTCCTTGGGCTGCCTCTGCTCCTTTTGGGCTGGGGCGGGGATTTGTGGACAGGGAGAGCTGAGCATCACCGCTCTGCAGTGTCCTCATCTGTCCCCAAAGGTGGCTGTCCACAAGCATCGCGGCCTGGGCTGGTTTGATGTCCCCTCCAGCCACCACAGGTCACCAACTCCAGGCAATGCCATACACCCCAAAGGAAACAGGCCATGTTCCTGCCACCCTGATGGTGTCACCACTGTCACTGCACTGGCAGCGTGGCACAGGGCACAATGTCACCAGCAGCTGGCACCAGCACTGCTCTCATACAGAACAGCCTCCCAGTGCCATCCCCGAAGCCTGGCCACGGCAGAGTGATCCTTGGGCTCCATCAGTGCAGGAGCCATTTCTGGGGAGCTGTGACCCAGTTTTTTCTCAGGGAAGGTGGCAAACAACTGTTCCCCAGGAGTGGGAGCAGAGGGAGCCTCTGAACCCGAGATAAGGGGTGGGACAGTGGCAGTGGTGTGGAGAAGAGGGTGATGGCTCAGGAGCAGGAGCCACCCCTTGGCCAGACACCACGGATGGCCATGGAGTGGAGGGGCAGTGGGAGGGACCCACAGCCATGGGAGGATGCTGAGAAGTGGGTGCTCCATGGGAAAAGAGGAGCCTCCCCCCAAAAAACATGGAGAGAGATGAGTGCCTCCTGCCCTGAGCCATGAGTCAGCTCCATGGAGAGATGGATACCCCCATCCCTGGGGAAGGGGGACACAAAGTCTGACCCCAGTTCCCCTCAGCTGTGTGGCCTCATTAAAACCAGCCCAGATGTCCCCCACCTCCACCTCAGCACGGAGCTGAGCCCCGATGTGCCCATCACAGCCCTGGCAGGGCTGAGCCTTTAAATACAGCCTGAGTGCTGAGCAGGATCCACACCAGGGATCCTCTGCCTTTGCCTCCTGCCGTGATTCCCAGCGCTGGCAGCACTCCCTGCCCTCCCCACGCGCCCCAGAGGGACCGGTGTCCATCACGGTGGGATCCATCCCTGTCCCCACAAACATTAACGCTGGGACAGAGCTTCTAAAAAACCAAGTACAAACTTTATTTTGTTTCTTTACAAAGGCACGAGCCTCTTTTTTTTTTTTCAACTTTCTTAACAAAATAGAATAGCTTCTCAATCAACACAAAGACCTGAAAATTGTAAAAAAAAATACAAAAAAAAAAAAAAAAAAAAAAAAACCAAAAAAAAAAAAAAAAAAAGGGGAAAGGAACCGAGAAACAGCTGCAGCTGGGGGGGAACCTACTGAATACCACCGAGGCTCTACACAAGACTGGCCTAAAACCCTACAGCCGGGTGGGGGGCAGTGGGGCGAGGGGGGGACGCACAAAACAGGGACCCCCCACCCGCCACGACAGACCCAAGCGACACAATCACAAAATAGAAAAGCTCTTCAGAGCTGACAGACCCCACAAACCAGGTTAAGTGCTTAAAGGAGGGATGGGAATGGGGTGGGGGGGACAGGAATGGGCACAGGGACAGGGACGGGGTGTAAAAATCAGCCCCCAACCTGCCATCCCTGTGCCAAGGAGGTGGGTGTTGGAAATGCCGGGGAGGGATGGAATATGCCAGCCCTCCTGCCATGCTCCAATGGCATCATCCCAGGATTATTTCACTCTCCAAGGGGGTTTTCCCTGCCCTATGTGGGGTGCAGGAGCCATGGTGGTACCCTGAAATCAGGGATCCCTGTCCTGCCCTTGCTGCCATGTCACTTGGCATCTCCCCCCCTGCTTAAAAACAAACATTTAATTAAAAGGAAAAAAAAAACACAAGAGAAGGAAAAAACCAAATTAAGATCCCAACCAAAGGCCCTGTCCCAAGGGAACACCATCAGGAACAGTGGGGCTGCTGCCAGCTTGGCAGGATTCCCTGTGGGTTGGCAGGTGGGGGGTGATAAACCAGGGTGGGGGGCTGTGACCCCCATTCCCAACGCCCCCCACCATGCCCCAAGCCCCCCATGCCCCACTGTGGCCACTCCTAAGCCCCCACCCCCCTGGGAGCTGAAGGGTGACCTTTGCCTGCCTCTAACGCTCTGCTTTACAGTATTGGAAAAAGGTCATAAAAGAGACCCAAATCACGTTGTATTTTTTAAAAATTTCAGCATATTCTCTGACGTTTCCCCCCCCCGCCCCGGCTTCCCTCCCCAGCTGCTGGCTGGGAGGTGTCAGGGCAGCTCCCCGTCCCCCGAGGGCTCTTCTTTGCTCTGGTCCATGGAGTCACTGTCGTTGCCCTCGGTGTCGGAGGCGGTGTCGGAGGCGGAGGGCTCGGGGCAGGCGCGCGCTGGCGTTACGATGACGGCGCGTCTCTGCTCCTCTTCCTGCAGCTGCTTCTCCTGCGTGCCCTCGATGTGCTGGATCGCCTGCCCGGGGCACACACCGGCTGTCAGGACACCTCTGACCCACCCTGGGGATCAGGGACCCCCCTGAGCCCCCCACTGCCAAACCCCCCGCTGCTCCCCGGCTGACCTGAACGATGGTGTCCAGGTTTTGCCGGGACGTGGAGACCGTGTTGATGACCGAGGATGGGCCCATGGTGACCACGGTGACATGATGGGAGGGAGGCGGCGCTGGAACGATCACGGTGGGGTGGTGGGTGGGCGCTGGGGGAGCGTGTGATGGCAGGAGCTGGGGACAGAAGAGAAACCCCCAGTGAGCACGGCACGGCGGCGTGGGGAGAACACAGAGCCCAAGCTCCATAAAAGCTGAGGCATCACTCAGCTGCTCCCGTTCTCCATCCCAGCGGATGCAGGAGGATACCAGCTGAAAGCTGCTGTCACCTCAGCTTTGCAGAGTGGAACATGAAGGATTCCCCGTATCCCAAAGGGCAATGATCTGGGCTTTGAAGCCGGGAGAGGCAAGTGCCAGCCCCTGCGTGGCCAGGAATTCCCCACACCCCTCGGAGATCCTCGCTGGAGCAGCGGATGGGAAGATCCGCCCTAGCAGGAGGCTACGGAGAGTTCACCTAAAAATAGGCTGAACTTCCCCGGGAGGCGGCCGGCGGGGACCCTGCAGGGACACGGCTCTGCAGGAGCCCAAGGAGCAGGGAAGAAGCTGCTGTTCCTCCCTTTGAAGCTCCCAGAGTGGCGTGGCCCCGGGCTGGGCTCGAGGGTGGCAGTGCACAGGGACCGGCGCTGGCACAGCGCTCGCCTCCTTCCTGCACCACTGGCAAACCCAGCAGTCCCGGGGGAAAGGCTGAAGGTTCCCATCCCCTCTGCCTGCCAGTTTGACACTCCCCTTGCCCAGCCTGCTGGGTGGCAGGGAGTGGTTTGGGGATCCCTGAAGTTCAGTAGGAGGCACGCAGAGAAAGGTGAAGCCCCTGAGATGAAACTGTCTCCAGCAGCGAGTGGCCCTCCCTGTACAAACCCCTCTGTGCCAGGGAACAGAGCCACTTGGAAGCCATCACGGGTGGTTCAATCCACAGTCCCTCCCTGAGACACAGGGTGCCTGCAAGCACAGCCCCAAGCACTGTGGGGGGCTTTGGGCCACCCCTTTCCCAAATCACTAAGGGGAAGAGCTTTGCTGGGACATCAGTGCCCACAGGAGGTACCAAGTCCATCCCCAAACCCATCCCTCGTGTTCCAGTACCTGGGGGTGTCTGGGGTGCACTCACCTGGGTTCGGATCTGCTGCTCGCGCTCGAGCTTCTCCTGGTGCAGCAACCTCACCTGTTCCTGCTGCTGCTGGAGCTGCACCTGCTGAGCAATCACCTTCAGCTTCTCGGGGTACATGTGGGCCTCCAGGGAGCGAACCTGCGGGTCAGGGAACCCCAACATCAGTGGGGAGTCTGGCATGGCCCCTCAGTGGGAGCCAGGAATCCCCAGACGAGCACGGAGAAGCAGTGTCCAAAGCAGGTTTGGTGACCCCACAGCATGCTGGTGCCCCTGGGGTTCACTGGGGACACGGCAGAGGCTGCAAGAGGGCACCTGGCCTCACCTGCTCCTCCAGCATCATGCGGACCGAGCGTTCCTTGTCCAGCTGCTGCCGGAGCTCAATCATCTCCCGACGCAGATCCTCGGCCTTCTCATCTTCCCAGATGTCCGGCGAGCCGATCCCCTCGTCTTTGTCCTCTGCCCGTCGCCGTTTCGGCGAGGAGCCACTGAATTCCTGCCGTGGGAATGTGGTGTCATGGAAAGGGGGATGCTGTCCCTGCCATCCAGACATCTGGGTGATGCCACTCCCCACCAGAGCTCCATGCAGGAAAGGGTCTCCCTGGGGTTGTGTTTGATGCTTGGGGACAGAGCGGCTCCTGCCCATGTCCCCCATCCTGGTCCTCATCCCTGCAGCCTTGTGCCAACCTGATGATCACACTGACCCCAGTGCAGTTCAACCAGGGGACCTCAGCACCAGATCTGCTACCAGGCCATTCCCGACACCCAAATGTGTGGAAATAATAGAAAATGGGACCCGAACCCTTCTCCCCCTGCCAGATAAGAGATGCCAGGTTGAATGGGGTGCCCTGCCCTGCCAGGGGAACAGAAACATCTCCACTCTCTGGCTGAGCAGGTAAGAAGGTCCCACGCTGAGCCCAAGGAACTGCAATGACATCGCCACCCTGGCCAGCCAGGATTGTCCCACCCCCTCCTGTCCCATCCCTGGGGCAGTACCTGGATGAACCGCTTGAGCTGGGTGTTCTGCTGCAGTAGCCGAGTCTTTTCCTGCTCCAGGGAGAAGATGTACTCGGCCGTCTGCTGGAGGATGGCTGCCTGT